CTCGACCACTGATATCTGACAGTGTCTGGAAACATTTTTGCTTGACTGAGGGGTGTGTGTGTGTGCACGTACGCACCTAGTAGCTAGAGGCCAAGGATACTGCTAAACATCCTATAATGCATAGAACATCCACTAAGAACTGAGCAATTCAGTCTAAAATGTCAGCTGTGCCAAGGTCAAGAAATTCTGTAACATACTTACAAAGTTCTGGCATTTTTTACTTTAGGGTAGGCTAACGTTTTTGCATCCAGGTTTCACACAACTGAGAAAACTGTTGAAAGCATTCCCAGGTGCTCAAGCTAACAGGGGGTCTGGAATCACTGTTCACTGCACCCGTATCAGCAAATCCAGCCTAATCCATCATTATTTCCACCTGATTCAATACCTGTAAGATCTGCAACCATACATATTTCTCAGGTTTCTATTGCTACAAATTATAAAAATCCTTATTTTGGCTATATATCGCCTTATGGCCATATTTTCTACTTGAAAAGTAGTCCTCCATTGTGAGGACCTGAGTTCCATAACTGGTCTAGAAAAATGAGAGGCAGCGGAGGAAAGTCTTGAGGATCTAGTCTTTTGCAAGGAAATCATCTCAGGGAAGGTGATCACAGGCTCTTCGGGCAAGGGAGACCGACCTCAGAGAGAGGAGGAAGGGCTCCTTCTAACGGGAAGAGAGGCTCAGGTAGATTGAGCAAAGTCCTCAACTTTGTTGGAATCTACTCCTTTGTTCCCATTCAAAATTTTCAGGATCCCATTCCTTCCCACTGGTGCCCTGTGACATGAGAGACTCTAAAAGTTGTGAATTCAATGTGTTGTTATTCAGCCACTGATTTTGGCTTTGCATCACTCTTTCTCAAAAACAAAGAAATGCTGATAATATATAACATGTTCTCCAAAATGTTAATATGCAGCCAAACTAAAAGCTAAGAAAAATCTCCTGGAGGCTCAAAATAGGGAAACTGAGTCCATAGTGGCAAGGGAGAGGTGAAGCTTTTTTTTTTCCTGAGACAGGGTCTCGCTTTGTCACTCAGGGTGCAGTGCAGTGTTGAGACCATGGCTCACTGCAGCCTTGACCTCCCGGGCTCAAGTGCTCCTTCCACCTCAGCTTCCTGAGTAGCTGGGACCACACATGTGTACCTCCATGGCTAGCTAACTTAAAAAAAAAATTTTTTTGTAGATACAGTGTCTCACTATATTGCCCAGGCTAGTCTTGAACTCCTGAGCTCAAGAGATCCTCCCAGTTAGGCTTCCCAAAGGGCTGGGATTGCAGGTGTGCAATCCCACTGCACCTGGCTGAGTTGAAACTTAATAGCTCACCAAGAGCAAAAGAACAGGATACACAACTAGCAGTCTAATCTTGACTGTAGATGAGAATCAAGGCCAGAGGAGCCATAAACACCATGAGTAATAAACTACCAAACACTGCTAATGAAACAGCACTGCTCCCTGGTTGCTAGCCCCATCTTGAACCTAACGACCCACGGTTAACCAGAAGGGCAGATATGAGAATCAAAAGAAAATCATTTTGGAATCCTGACCGAAGCAGGTGTAAGTCCTGCTCTACCTGTAGTCTTTTACATTATGCGAGACAAATCATTCTGGTTTAACATAAAGGTTGGTAAATTTTTTTCCATAAAGGGCCATAAAGTACATATTTTAGATTTAGTGGGCCATAGTTTTTGTCACAACTATTAAATTCTGACACTCCAGCAAGAAAGCATAGATAATACATTAAAACATAGGCATTGCTATATTCTAATAAACCTTTAAGGCAGTGGGCTAGATTCAGCCCAAAGGAGGTAGTTTTTCCACCCCTGGCTTAATCCACTAAACTGCAAATTATTTTAAGAGTTGGTGGGCTATCCTGGTATCTAAGAGCAAGCTAAACATCAAAGACCCAGGATTTCTGCCACTTAACACAATTTGAGGTATCATGGACTTTACCTACTTAGCATGTGAAGGTGTCGTCAGAGAGAAACAACAGGAATTGTAATCCAAATAGAGAAAACTGTGGAAATCTCACAGAAATCTCTGACCTCAGAGGTCCTATCATTTGCTGAGTAAAGCCTTTAACCAAACAAGCTTTAAATGTCACAGAAATGCCTAAGAAAAAAACTATTATTCTATCCTGCTTAATTGCTTGTTCCCACGGTTTTTCACTGGCATTATGCTGTTCTCTCCTTACGCACCTTTTCTTCAGGGAATCTTTATTAAATTTTACCTCAAAAAGCATGTATTTCCACTCTGTATCTTCAGAATTTGCCCTCGTCTTGTCACCGTCTGGAATGGAGTGGCACGAGCTCAGCAATGCAACCTCCACCTCCTAGGTTCATGATTCTTCTACCTCAGCCTCCCGAGCAGATGGGATCACAGGCACCCATCACCTCACCAGGCTAGTTTTTGTAATTTTTTAAAATAGAGATGGGGTTTCACCATTTTGGCCAGACTGCTCTCGAACTCCTGACCTCAGGTGATAACATCTACCTCAGCTTCCCAAAGTGCTGGGATTACAGGCGCGAGCAACTGCATCTGGCATCTTTGTAAATTTTTTTTTTTTTTTTTTTGAGACGGAGTTTCGCTCTTGTTACCCAGGCTGGAGTGCAATGGCTCGATCTCGGCTCACCGCAACCTCCGCCTCCTGGGTTCAGGCAATTCTCCTGCCTCAGCCTCCTGAGTAGCTGGGATTACAGGCACGCGCCACCATGCCCAGCTAATTTTTTGTATTTTTTAGTAGAGACGGGGTTTCACCATTTTGGCCAGACTGGTCTCGAACTCCTGACCTCAGGTGATAACATCTGCCTCAGCTTCCCAAAGTGCTGGGATTACAGGCGCGAGCAACTGCATCTAGCATCTTTGTAAAAATTTTTTAATGATTTTTTTCCACAGCTGCCGTACAGTGTCTAGAAAGGCCCAGCCACTTCCCCGAATCAGATCTTGAAAAGACAAGCCAGGGCCCTAGGTCATCCATCCATTGAGCCAGCGAGTAAATCTGTCAAGATCTAAGAAGCATTCTTACAACTGGAATTACATTAAAACCATATTGACTGCATGGATTTGTACCTAAAAAGCTTCAAACGCATTCACTGCAAATATATATTCACACCCACCAAATGCATCCGTATCTTTGAGCAAGTTTCTATAACTGATTTCCAGAGTTCCATTCTTTAATTTTAGCCTCATATTCTATATGACATAAGACTTCTTAACTGGAAGGGATTACTATGTTCTAGTAATTTTTCAAATTATATATTACTATGTTACTGTAAAATAACAATATTTTACTATAAAATTGATGCTCAGTGAAAAAATTAAAATATAAAACTTAAATGTGAAAAAAAAAATCCCTGCATTCTCCTTGCTGCTGTGGTGGCATAGGATAAACCACCAAACATGATTGGATGCACTGTTCACACTCACATGGACACACACAAGTTTAAGGTATGTGATGTTCTAAGGCTGAGTCTCACTCTGTTGCCCAGGCGAGAGTGCAGTGGCGCCATCTCGGCTCACTGCAACCTCTGCTTCCCCAGTTCAAGTGCTTCTCTTGCCTCAGAAGCCCAAGTAGCTGAGAATACAGGTGTGCACCACCACACCTGGCTATTTTTTGTATTTTTAGTAGAGACAGGATTTCACCATGTTGGCCAGGCTGGTCTCAAACTCCTGACCTTAAGTGATTCACCCACTTCAGCCTTTCAAAGTGCTGGCATCACAGGTGTGAGCCACTGCACCTGGCCTGTGACGTTTTCTTTTTTTCTTTCAACAATGGAGTTCCCAGCACAGTGATGCTCTTAAACTGTTACCCTCTTGTCATAAAATTTGCCTATCATTTTCAAGGATTCTTTTTACTGTAGCATATAAAAATTATTTCTATTTTTACAAAGTTCAGCAACACTGATGTGCTACTCCTTTTCTATTTGAATCTCCTAATCAAAAATTCCTGTTCTATGAATTCAAGAAAAAAAAAAAAAAAAGAGAGATGCACAGTCTATATTCTGATACATATTAACTTCTCTTTCAAAAGCATTTTTTCACTGTCACCATCAGGGAAAAGTGTGAAAGCCAGCCATGCTCCAAAAATCAATTTTTTTTCAATTTTAGCAAATTTTTTTGTCCTTTTTCTCAGAATATGGGGGAGAGAAGCTGATAAAAGAAATTTGCAGTAGACTCAAACTAAGTTCTGACTAAAGTAATGCTAAAGCCTTTAGAAGGCAATCATGTCAAAGCCTGAATGAAAATGTGAATATAAAAACCAATGATCAATTCAACATCTACTAAAAAATGTATGTCATTAGCAACCGACACTTAAACCCTTCCCTTAAGTGTTGAAAAAATAAGTGTAGTATGTAGTGTCCACTTATTACAAAATGAACAAAATTGTTACAAAAGATAATTGAATCTATATTGTAGAAAACTAGACAAGGTCTGGGAAGATAGGACCCAACTTTAGAGGCTAGGGAGGACAGGATCTAATCACAAGACAATGCCAAATAACAGAGTTCAGTATTGAGTGGTTTTCTACATTTAAATTCCGTCTCCCTGAATTAATCTTATTAAGGCTACCCTCAAGTTTCCTGTTTACAAATTTATGATATTCTCGAGGTGATCTTAACATAACTTTCAAATATGTTTCTTATTAATTTAACAAATATTGAGAACCCGTGAAGTACATGGCAATGCTAAGATTATGTAGACTCCATAGTGAACAAGTCCCTGCCTTTATGGAGTTAACATTGTAGTGGACACTTAATTTTGGCATGTCCACTGCGACATTTTTGTAAAAGGCCTGAGAAATATCTTAGTCTAATACCCCCTCTTTTAAGTAACATTTTATAAAAGTCAAGGTTTTGACCAAAGAAGTCCTTGCCCTGCTAATTATAAATTAAAGACTGTTGTATTGTCTCTGGACCACTGGGACATGAGGAGCTATGGCTGAAACACTGACTTCAAATATAATTTTTTGAGACTTCACAATTAGAAGAATTCAAATGACACGAGTCTTCAAAAAGAATCATTTTATAGAATTTTTTCCTGTGTGGATTCTCTGATGTTCTTACCACCCCTATTATTTTTATAGGATGTATCACCAACATGGATTCTGTGATGAATTGTAAGATTTGATCTCCAACTGAAGCTCTTACCACATATTGCACATTTATAAGGTTTCTCCCCAGTGTGAACTCTCTGATGAGATTGTAATTGTGAAGACCGACTGAAGACTTTACCACACACATCACATTTGTATGGTTTCTCTCCTGTGTGGACACTCTGATGAAGCTGAAGACTCGAGGCCTGACTGAAGTACTTACCACACTCCCCACACTTATATGGTTTTTCTCCTGTGTGCACCCTCTGATGCATGTCAAGATTCAAGCTCCACTTGAAGCCCTTCCCACATTTATCACATTTGTATGGTTTTTCTCCATTGTGGACTTTTTGATGGGCTTGAAGATGTGCACTCCGACCAAAACTCTTCCCACATTCTTCACATTTGAATGGTTTTTCTCCGCTGTGAACTCTCTGATGGGCCAAAAGATTTGAGGCCTGTCTGAAGACCTTCCCACACTCCTCACAGTTATATGGTTTCTCTCCTGTGTGGATCCTACAATGAATTTTAAGATCTGCTCTACGACTGAATCCCTTGCCACACTCTTCACATTTGTATGGTTTCTCACCTGTATGGATCAGCTGGTGAATTTGAAGTCGTGAGCTCTGATTGAAACCCTGCCCACACTCCTCACACTTAAAAGGTTTCTCTACATTGTGGGCCTTCTGATGGATTTGAAGATACGAACTTTGACTGAAGCCCTTCCCACATATCTCACATTTATAGGGTTTCTCTCCTGTGTGGACCACCAGATGAACTTGATAATGGGAGTTTCTCCTGAAGCTCTTTCCACACTCCTCACATTTGTATGGCTTCTCTCCAGTGTGGACTCTCTGATGGGCTTGAAGATTTGAACTCAGAGTAAAGCCTTTTCCACATACAGTACACATATAAGACTTCTCTCCAGTGTGGACTCCCTGATGGGCCTGAAGACTTGAAGGCCGACTAAAGCCTTTACCACATTCCTCACATTTATAGGGTTTTTCTCCTGTGTGGACTCTCTGATGAATGTAAAGATTTGAGCTACAAATGAACCCCTTCCCACACTCCTCACATTTGTATGGTTTCTCTCCTGTATGAACTCTTTGATGGGATTGAAGATGTGAATTCCGACTGAAGCTCTTACCACATGCATCACATTTGAATGGTTTCTCCCCAGTGTGGAGTCTCTGATGGTCCTGAAGATGAGAAGCCTGACTGAAGGCCCTCCCACACTCCTCACAACTGTAAGGTTTCTCTCCTGTGTGGATCTTACAATGAACATTAAGTGCTGATCTACGACTGAAGCCTTTTCCACATTGCTTACATTTGTATGGTTTCTCTATCAGGTGGACTTTCTGATGGGTCTGTAGATGTGAGCCTTGACTGAATTCCTTACCACACTCATCACACTTAAGTTTTTCTCCCACATGTACTTTCTGATGAACAGGAAGAACTGAGCTGTAACAGAAGCCTTTTCCATGCTCAACACATGTAAGAGACTTCTCCCCTGATTGTAACTGCTGATGAAGATCAAAGCTGGAGAGATCATTGAAGGGTTTTTTACACTCATTACACTGGTAAGGTTTCTGTCCTGTGTGAATCATGCTATTCTGATCAAATGTCAAAATCTTCATGTTGCCTTTTTTGTAATCACTGGGTCTATAACATTTTTCACTTTCGTGTACTCTATGACCATCATGATGTGAAATCCAACTGATGGGGTCAACACTCTCCTTATGTTGACATAGTTTATTTCTTAAGGAAATTTGCCGATCTCTGTTCAATCTCTGTGACTCAGTCAGGAACATTTTCTTCCAAGAATCCTGGGTTCTCAAAGTAGGAAACTCTGGATTCACAGTATCATTGGGGTCATCTGCTCTATTTACTATACAGTTCTCATCTTTGGAAATTTGAATAGACAGTCCTACCCCTACCTGGCAAGGGAAATCACCTTGTTTGTGAAACTGAGAATTGTTGATCATGAAGTCTTGACACCTGGTTAAGTCACTTGCAATTTGTTGCCAGATTTGCCAGCAAGAAAGCTCTTCTTCTGACTCTCTGTCTTGAACAGTCATTAACTTACTTTGATTATTCTCTCCTGTATGGGCAAAGAGTTCAGAGATAAACTGAATTTTTTTTTTTTTTAATTGCATTTTAGGTTTTGGGGTACATGTGATGAACATGCAAGATTGTTGCATAGGTACACACTTGGCAGTGTGGTTTGCTGAACTGAATTTTTTTGTTCAAAGATTTAACATTTCACACTGAGGACAGAGTAAAAGATTTTAATGAGCCTCGGGATAGTTGTGCTTATCTTTTTTTTTTTTTTTTGAGATGGAGTTTCACTCGTTACCCAGGCTGGAGTGCAATGGTGCAATCTCGGCTCACTGCAACCTCCACCTCCCAGGTTCAGGCAATTCTCCTGCCTCAACCTCCTGAGTAGCTGGGATTACAGGCACGCACCACCACGCCCAGCTAATTTTTTGTATTTTTTAGTAGAGACAGGGTTTTACCATGTTGACCAGGACGGTCTCGATCTCTTGACCTCATGATCCACCCGCCTCAGCCTCCCAAAGTGCTGGGATTACAGGCTTGAGCCACCGCACCCGGCCTGTGCTTATCTTTTTCAACACATTTGAAGTTTGTGGTTTACATACTGACAGAAACCAAGAGATGGTCCACCAAGTTCCCTACTGCTAACCACTAATGAAATCCATTTATGAAACCCATTTAAAAACACAACTACTGACATGCTATCTAAATATATATTTTTTAATTCCATGTCTTTCCTACTATAATGTGGTATCAATAAGAAAAAACATTTTGTAGTGCTCAGTTTACAACCACAACCCAGAAGTTACTGACTGGCAGTTATTAAGAGTCACTTAAGGAATGCATGCATATATGAATCCCTGTTTGATTTCTGACATTTCTTTTAACTCCAAATCCAAGTTTAATTTGAGCCAGGTCATGGAACAAAACAGCTTTTACAAGTAAAGTATCTGAAATATAAAAAGCACTGGAAAGTACAGTTTTGCTGCGAAGTTGAAAAGCTGTACCTGAGGTAGGAGTACACCAAGTAAGTTATTGCTGAAGAGAAAAATCAAAAGTGATAATCACCTGGGGCGAAAGAAAAGCATGAAGACCTATGCACTGGATCCTCCTAAGGATTTTGCACTATTTAGGAGTCAAAATTGAAAGGCTAGCAAAGAATGCAGTCTCTCTGAAAGCAAGGTATAGAAAGTTTCTGTAGATACATTTGCCTTTAACAAGAATGTTTTCCAAATTGACAAAGTGGTTTATTAGTCAACTGTGAAATAAATTTGATAGCCTGTGCTATTTAGAAAAACAGATCAAGTATCAGAATAATCACAAGCAGTAATGGTATCACTACATAAAATGCCATCTAATGTCATACATACGCCTAAATGACATAATGTTTGAGAGAAAACACTGTAAGATCCATTTATTTTTATAAATGAGGACTTTGGAAGAAGCAAATGGGATGCCACCAGGCAAACTTTTTAAGGGAAAGGCTAATGCTCATGAGTTAGCTTTTATTTTTACTTTTTCTTTTCTGATATAATGGATAAGGAAATCGAATTTCATTCCCTTCTATGAGTAAATACCTAAGAAACAGAAATAAAAGTCCTTATTTTAGGCCGGGCGCGGTGGCTCAAGCCTGTAATCCCAGCACTTTGGAAGGCCGAGGCGGGTGGATCACAAGGTCAAGAGATCGAGACCATCCTGGTCAACGTGTTGAAACCCCGTCTCTACTAAAAATACTAAAAATCAGCTGGGCATGGTGGCACATGCCTGTAATCCCAGCTACTCGGGAGGCTGAGGCAGGAGAATTGCCTGAACCCAGGAGGCGGAGGTTGCGGTGAGCCGAGATCGTGCCATTGCACTCCAGCCTGGGTAACAAGAGCGAAACTCCGTCTCAAAAAAAAAAAAAAAAAAAAAAAAGTCCTTATTTTAAAATATTCCATCCCGAAATGAATATGCTCTGCTACAAATGCTCAAATAAAGTCATAAGGAAAGCATGTTATTCAGTTTGGTTACAACTATGATACTATAGGCTTCCTAAGGTATGGGCCAACTTGTATAGACAGGCAAACACGTGCCAACACACACACACACACAAATTAGAATGAGGTTAGGAATTCACTGGAAGACAGAAAATATTTTGCAATATCCCTTATTTATTCTGATTTGTTCACCTCCTATTATTTCCATGGAAGACAGATTTCCATATCCATTAACTCATTTATTTATTCAACTAATATTTATAGTGCCTGCCATGTACCATGACTATTCTAAGCACTGAGACAACAACAAAGAGATAAAATTCCTTCACTCCTAGGGATTACACTCCAGCAAGAAGACATAGGTGATAAGTCACTGAACAAAAACATATATGAAGGGATGATCAGTGCAAAACAAAAACAAAAACAAAAACATGTATGAGGGGATGATCAGCACACAGTACACAGAGTGCACAGAGAGTAAAGGGGAAGACTGTTTTTAATAGGGTGGTGGTCAGAGGAGGCCTTTCTTATGATAAACTGAGCAAAGAACTGAAGAAGGGAACCAGAGGATTATAGATAAAACATTATTCCAGGCAGAGAAAAGAACACATACAGGGTTGTGAGGCAGAAACATCTTTGACAGTTCTGAAAAACAAGAGGGAGGAAAATGTGGCTGGAATTCACAGAGAGTACAGGAGATATATTCAGAGAGGTAGTGGAAAATGAAGAGCAGACCATGTAGGATTCTGTCAACCATAGTAAGTGGATTTTACCCTAAGTAAAGTAAGGCACAGAGAATTTTAAGCAGAACAACATAGTCTGACATGAAGTAACAAAAACTCACTTTGGTTGCCACTTAGAGAACAGACTGTAAGAGGAGTGGGTGGGAGCAGAGAAAGCAGTACAAAGGATGTTGCAATAATCCAGAAAAGAGATTTGGCAATTTGGGCCAGGTGATGGCAACAAGGCTGGGGAGAAGCAAAGCAGATGGACAGTTAACTATAAGAACTCACAACTTGTTTGGTTTTTACCTAAATTTCTCTGTCTTTGAGTTGCTGTCTTCATTATGCAAAGCTGCTCTTTTCTTTCTATAGGTGATACATCTCGTTTGAAGGGTTGATGCCCTGTGAAAATGCCAAATCACAAGTTGAAAATAAACATATTAGAGTTAAAATGCATAGAAAATCTGAGTTGCAATTGCATATTGAAGACACTGAAAACAGTGTTTTTCAAACTTTTATTTAAATAATGACCCAGTAAAGAAACACTATTTATTTCATGACCCAGATACACATGTGTAGATACATATTATAAAAACCAAGTTTAAATAACCTTTTTTTTTTTTTTTGAGACGGAGTTTCACTCTTGTTACCCAGGCTGGAGTGCAATGGCGCAATCTCAGCTCACCGCAACCTCTGCCTCCTGGGTTCAGGCAATTCTCCTGTCTCAGCCTCCTGAGTAGCTAGGATTACAGGCACACGCCACCATGCCCAGCTAATTTTTTGTATTTTTAGTAGAGACAGGGTTTCACAATGTTGACCAGGATGGTCTCGATCTCTTGACCTCATAATCCACCCGCCTCGGCCTCCCAAAGTGCTGGGATTACAGGCTTGAGCCACCGCACCCGGCCACCTTTTTTTTTTTTTTAATTTGTGAGACATAGTCTCACTCAGTTGTCCAGGCTGGAGTGCAATGGCACGATCTCGGCTCACTGCAATCTCTGCCTCTTAGGTTCAAGTGATCCTCCTCCCCCTTCAGCCTCCCAAGTAGCTGGGATTACAGGTGCCTGCCACCACACCCAGCTAATTTTTGGTATTTTTAGTAGAGATGGGTTTTCATCATGTTTTTCAGGCTGGTCTCAAACTCCTGAACTCATGATCCGCCTGCCTTGGCCTCCCAAAGTGCTAGGATTACAGGTGTGAGCCACCAAGCCTGGCCTGACTTTTTTTTTTTTTTTTTTTTTGAGACGGAGTTTCGCTCTTTTTACCCAGGCTGGAGTGCAATGGCGCGATCTCGGCTCACCGCAACCTCCGCCTCCTGGGTTCAGGCAATTCTCCTGCCTCAGCCTCCTGAGTAGCTGGGATTACAGGCACGCGCCACCATGCCCAGCTAATTTTTTTGTATTTTTAGTAGAAACGGGGTTTCACCATGTTGACCAGGATGGTCTCGATCTCTTGACCTCGTGATCCACCCGCCTCAGCCTCCCAAAGTGCTGGGATTACAGGCTTGAGCCACCGAGCCCGGCCTGACTTTTAACTAATGTCTGTTTTCATTAAATCTCCTCCCCTCCCACTGCTTCACTTGACTAGCCTAAAAAAATAAATAAAAAATAAATCTCCTCCCATTGGTTCTCACATCAGTCAAGCAATTGGCCAGAATTTTTGCTGCAGTGTGTGTCATTCTTCCTATGGAGTTCTAGTATTTTCTTTTTGTTTGTTTGTTTGTTTCTTTTTTTTGAGACAGAGTTTCACTCGTTACCCAGGCTGGAGTGCAATGGCGCGATCTCGGCTCACCGCAACCTCCGCCTCCTGGGTTCAGGCAATTCTCCTGCCTCAGCCTCCTGGGTAGCTGGGATTACAGGCACGCGCCACCATGCCCAGCTAGTTTTTTGTATTTTTAGTAGAGACGGGGTTTCACCATGTTGACCAGGATGGTCTCGATCTCTTGACCTCGTGATCCACCCGCCTCGGCCTCCCAAAGTGCTAGGATTACAGGCTTGAGCCACCGCGCCCGGCCCCAAGTTCTAGTATTTTCTATCCTATATTCTTTTATAAAACACAAATGAAAAAGACCCAAAATATTCTGTTCAGAAAAACCAGTAACATTCAGTGTCTCTGCATCCCATAAAAATTAGGAAAGTCAGATTCCCACACTCAGGGAACCATTACAAGAGCTACAAAGCCTTAAAACTCCAAGGTGACAAAGATACTCCAGAGGGAGGCTGTCCTCACCCACTGACAACAGGTTCCTAAAGTTCTCCACCATCACATCTCGGTATAGCTTCCTCTGGGCAGGCCCCAACAGCCCCAACTCCTCCTCCGTGAAGGCCACAGCCACATCCTTGAAGGTCACTGCTTCCTATGACAAAAACACATGACCTCAATCTTACAACCAGTGTCCACTGGAAGACAGCTAACACTAAGAAAGTGAAGAGAACAGCTGGAAAGCTGTCCTGGATTCCCAGCTGTTTGTAGACTTCCCAGCCCTTCTCCTGTCTTGCAAATGCCATACACTGACTTACCAGGAGTGCTGCTATGAAAAAGAAAGCTTTGTATATTTACTGGGTGCTCTCAATGAATACTCTTATAAGAAAATTTCCAAGAACTATTACCTCCTGAACCTAAAACATTGCCAATTTCCTCAGAAATGTTTACCAGTTTAGTCCCAACAGTGTTTGATAGCACCTGCCTTCCTACTGAGGTGGGAGCCAAGTGAGCAGTGTTTTATGTGGAAATAAACCTAAAGGGCATGTCAAGTTTCTGAATGAAAGACTTTCTCTCTTTCCTCCTGTCTTGGTCTTTCACTTGAATATAATACACTGATCCCAGATCTTTAGTTTTTCATGTGAACTTGAGCAGATTCCTCACTTTTCACAATCCCTTTTCCATTTATGTTCAAAACGAAGACAAAACAAAGAACCTCCTCATATAGTTGCTGTGAGGTATCAATACATGGACAGAGTGCCAGTGCTTGGCAAATCCTTTACTACCACCAGGCATTTTAAATTAAGGTCACATATTACTTTGACTAAAAAAAAATATTCAATTCGGCAGGGCGCGGTGGCTCAAGCCTGTAATCCCAGCACTTTGGGAGGCCAAGGCGGGTGGATCACGAGGTCGACTGATCGAGACCATCCTGGTCAACATGGTGAAACCCCGTCTCTAATAAAAATACAAAAATTAGCTGGGCATGGTGGCGCGTGCCTGTAATCCCAGCTACTCAGGAGGCTGAGGCAGGAGAATTGCCTGAACCCTGGAGGCGGAGGCTGCAGTGAGCTGAGATCGCGCCATTGCACTCCAGTCTGGGTAACAAGAGCGAAACTCCGTCTCAAAAAAATATATATATATTCAAAGGAAAAAAAGACTAGTAAATAAAATATACACAGGGTAGGACTGAGGCATGAGGAAGACAGAATCTAGCTCTTCTAGTGAAAAAGTCTAACAGTGTTTTTTCTGTGTGAAGCAGCTGTGAAATCCTGATGCACTGTGCCCTATTTGAATATTCTATCAAAAAACATCTGAAGTACCACATACAAAACATACCTTTTCAATTCTAATACCTAATGTTAAGGATTTTAAAAGGCAGTATTTTTCAAAATTGATTTTTTCAGAAAAAGTTAAATGTAAGAAACTAACACTGTAGTTCCTAAAACAGTAAAAATCCTACATTAACTGCCTACATAGAGAGAATAGTTTAAAAACTGGCTACATAAATTTGATAGAAATATAACAAAAATAAATATATATAATTTAAGAAATGTAAAATTACGTCTATGTTATGAATGCAAATATATAATTACGAGTACATATAATGAAGAGATTACAGAAATATAAAAGCAGCCAAGTTGTAAGCAGGGAAGTAGTAATGTAAAAGATACTTTTCATTTCTATTAATTTTTCTGAGATGGAGTCTCACTCTGTTGCCCAGGGTGGAGTGCAGTGGCACGATCTTGGCTCCCTGCAACCTCCACCTTCCAAATTCAAGTGATTTTCCTGCCTCAACCGAGTAGTTGGGATTACAAGCAAATGCCACCACACCCAGCTAACTTTTGTATTTTTAGTAAAGATGGGGTTTTGCCATGTTGACCAGGCTGGTCTCAAACTCCTGACCTCAAGTGATCCTCCCTACCTCAGCCTCCCAAAGTGCTGGGATTACAGATGTGAGCCACCATGCCCAGTCATCATTTTTATTAATTTTTCTACTTTTATTTGTAAAACAAAAATGATAAAATAAAACTAAAAGCAAAACCAGCTAAACTTAAATAAGACAAAATAAGCACCTAATACACTCAACAGGTCCTCAAATTCCTTGACTCTTCCTTGAAAAAGAAAAACCTGGTCCCATCTCTAAGTACTAAAATGGGATTTTTTAACAGGTGGGAAAGGCAAGCTCTACTCACCTTGAACATATTCATTTTTAATTCTTCCTTCTGGGGAAGTACAGAGTCCTAAGAAACTGAACTAGGAAAGAAGAGAGAAGTAAATGAAAACTGGGAAAGTATGTTGCTAATCCACATGGTCCTTCTTTAGGAATTAGAAAAGGTCTGTACTCCTTGGGGTGGCTGTAGCTGTATGTGACCTTTTTTTTTTTTTTTTTTTTTTTAAGACAGGGTTTCACCATGTTGGTCAGGCTGGTCTTGAACTCCCGACCTCAGGTGATCCGCCCGCCTTGGCCTCCAAAGTGCTTAGATTACAGGCATGAGCCACCACGCCCAGCCTCATGCTGTATGTGACTTTTAAGCAGATTATGGCATGGAGCCTAGATACCCATCTACTCCTTTTAGCGGCAGTTCAGAACCTGCCCAACCACACACAGTGGCCTCACTGCCCATGTGCTTGTAATTGCCCGCTAGTAGTTCTTATTCTGAGTACAGTATAAATTGAGATGATATAAGTACAGTAGGCTCTGGAATTGATATGCATGGGTTAAAATCCTGACACAGTACTCACTAGCAGTGTCACCTTGGGGAAATTATTAACATCTCTTTGCCTTATTTCTATCATCTCCAAGTGGTAAAGAACAACAGTACCAGGCCGGTGGATCACGAGGTCAGGAGTCCAATACCGGCTTGGCCAACATAGTGAAACCTCCTCTCTACTAAAAATACAAAAAATTAGCTGAGTGTGGTGGCAGGCGCCTGTAATCCCAGCCACTCTGGAAACTAAGGCAAGAGAATCACTTGAACCTGGGATGCGGAAGCTACAGTGAGCCGAGATTGTGCCACTGTACTCCAGCCCAGGTGACAGTGAGAGCCTCCAACTCAAAAAAAAAAAAAAAAAGAAAAAGAAAAAGAATAACAGTACCAACCTCATCAGATTGTTGAAGGTAAAAACCTCTTACAACACAGTCAGGTACCTTATTTCTTTCCAATTGCAGTGAGTAAAAGATAGTCTATAGTTTGAAATTATCCTTAAAAATATAATTTCCAACAACAGAATATTATAAGATAGTTGGAATTCACAGATTGTTGCTATGTCATATCAAAGTGTCTTATAACTTCTGAAAAACTTGTCATCTTTCCAATAGTTTGCTAACTCAACACTGAACTAATAAAACTAAGATACTGCAATTAAAAAGACAGTTTGACAGCCCATACTTAACTTAAATTGAAAAGGTAATAACCTGGCCAGGTGTAGTGGCTCACACCTGTAATTCTAGCACTTTGGGAGGCTGAGACAAGCAGATCACTCACAGTCAGGAGTTGAATACCAACCTGGCCAACATGATGAAACCCTGTCTCTACTAAAAAGACAAAAATTAGCTGGACATAGTGGCAGGCACCTGTAATCCCAGCTACTTGGGAAGCTGAGGCACAAGAATTACTTGAACCCAAGAGGTGGAGGTTGCAGTGAGCCGAGATCACCCCAGCCTGGGTGACTAATATTCTGTCTCAAAAAAAAAAAAAAAAAAGAAAAGGCAGGAAACCAAGTCAGTATTGTTATAAATAAAGGAATGTGTAATAAATAAATGGCAGAAGAAAAAGTGACAAAAGAAAGCTCCTATAGAACATAGAAACTAATACAGGTAGAATAAAAGGTAACTAGAAAATCATTAATAGATGCTAGAAACTGGTGCAAGTTTGGTGAGGAATAAGATGGCTACATAGTCTCAAAGCATTAAGTTCAAAAGGAAAAAAGTAACCTGGCATACATTTTATCCAAAAGAACAAAGTTGAGACCACTAGGGGGACAAACCCCAAACCAACATTTGACGACTCCTATGATGCACTGAGAGGGATGCCTCACCACTTTTATGGCATCTCTGCTGATAATGCATAGTCTGAATTTAATCATGAGTAAATACTAAAAAAAAAAAAAAAAAAAAGGAGCATTTTACAAAATATTTTGTCAATACTCTACAAAAGATATCAAGAGCAAGAAGGAAAGTCTGAGTAATCATTCTAGACTAAAGGTGACTAATGAAATTTAAAAAAAAAAAAACCTAACTGCAATACATACAACTAGACTGGAACCTCGCCTGGGGGAATAAATTACTTTCAAAGTCTTTACTGGTAAAAATGGAATAAATTTAAATACAAACTGTAGATTAGGTAACAGTAAGTTATCAATGTAATTAATTTCATTTTTATCACTATTTCTAGCTTGCTCTCAAATGCTTCAGCAAAAAGACAAAAACAAAATACAAGTATGATGATAAAGTTGTGAAAGTGAAAAGACCAAAAAGAGAAAACTGCTCTGACAACTAATAGCGGCAACAGCCAGAACCTGGTGTTTTCAATTTATCAACAAAAACAAGACAGGTTAACTCACTGATCAAGGTGAAAAAGAAAAAAACAAGACAACTTCTAACACAGAGAGAAATACATTCTACAGTGACAAAAACAGCCAAATAACTGCCTCTTCCATCTAAGACGACCACTTTGTTATGGGCAACAACTCCAGCCTCATGTTACTTCCCCACCTCCCACATAAAAATTACTACAATAGTCACCAAATTGCTGCTGCTTCTTGACAGCGTCCAAACCAGAACAAACCCTCTTGCCTAAAATTCTCCCCAACTCAGCTAACATAAACCAAAACCCTATAACCAGGCCCCTCCTAATTGCCTCTTACCAAGACACCCCATGCCATGTGTGGGCTCCTTGGATACAGCAAGCTAAAACAAACTTAATTGTCTTTGGTTACAGGTATTTTCCTGGTGATGTTTGGCTGACAGTCATTAACAGAGCAAACAGGCAAAACATAAACAACTGGTGAACAGGGGTTAAGAGCATATGAGATTTTCTTATACTATTTTTTTTTTGCAACTTTTCTATAAGTTTGAAATTATATTACAAAAAAAAGTTGGCTGGGCCCAGTGGCTCATGCCCGTAATCCCAGCACTTAGAGAGGTCGAGGCGGGTGGATCACCTGAGGTCAGGAGTTCGAGACCAGCATGGCCAACATGGTGAAAGCCTATATATCTACTAAAAAATACAAAAAAATTAGCCGGGCATGGTGGCAGGTGCCTGTAATCCCAGCTATTCCGGAGGGAGGCCGGAGAATCGCTTGAACCTGGGAGGCAGAGGTTGCACTCCAGCCTGGACAATAAGGGCAAAACTCCATCTCAAAAAAAAAAAGTTAAAGAAGTCAGGAAACAATCATTAACAACCATAGTAACTGATAATGATAACAACTATGGCAATAATATCTAACACCAATTAACAGTAACTAGGTAGCTTATCTTCCCACTTCAGGAAGGAGGCCTCCAATAAAAAAGACAGCAAGGCATCTACTCCCCGAAGCCTGGGAAAAACAGATCTTCAGGACTCTAAGTCCCTCCATTTTGACTCTAGACTTGCCAGTGGCCTTCTACTCATGTCATGGTTTTTGCAAAGAAACTTGACAGTTAACAATATTTAGCAAGAAGGAAAAAATCACTGGACTGAGTAGGGTTCTAGTATAACCAGCTCAGTTTTATCTGTGACATCTGGCAAGGTCAGTTTTCTAGTCCTGAGTTTCCAGATAAGACCTTTTCCTGAGCTTCTCAAACTTTAACATGCCTCTGAATCGCCTTGGCATCTTGTTGAAATGCAGATTTCCGGGTCCTATCTGCAAAAAAATCTAAATGAGAAGGTCTTGGGTAGGGCTCAAGAATGAGCATTTCTATCTGGGTGATGCCAATGTTGCTGCTTTGTGGACCACAGTATGACTAGTGTTGCATTGTACTCAGTCCCCCCAAAAACAGCTCCTACTAAACAGAAATAAACACAAGAAAAACTTGACAAAAAGGCACTAAAACAATAGCTGTTATTTTTATAACCTAAGGTATGTTTATAAAGATGTAAGGTATAAAGGTAAATGGGGAATTTACACACATTGAGCAAAGTTCCCACAGTGACAAAGCTCCCACAGTGAAGTCTCAACCTATCTTCAAATGATACTAGTCAGTTTCCTATGGCTCATGGAGAACATGCCAAAGAAAACTACACTCAGACTGCCCAGGTTTCAACGCTAGCTCTGCCTCCTACTAGCTGGGTGGTTATGAGCAAACAAGTTATGTTCTTCTTTTTTATTTATTTATTTATTTATTTTTAAGACGGGGTTTCACCATGTTGGTCAGGCTGGTCTTGAACCCCCCCGACCTCAGGCGATCCGCCTGCCTTGGCCTCCAAAGTGCTTGGATTACAGGCGTGAGCCACCATGCCTGGCCACAAGTTATGTACATGTATGTCTCAGTCTCCTCGGAAAAAAAAGAGTATCACTTCAGAGTCACTGTTGGGCGGAAAGGTGTTCATTTGTGTAATTATAATCACTTCCCAAGCCCAAATATACGACCCACACATTCTGATTTATGTGAATAAAACAAGAATAATATTAACAAGTCTTACTCACATGAGTTTCTGCTGCCTCCTCCTCTGTGCAGTGCTTTTTGAGAAGTCAGGGCTGGGGAAGAAAAAGACGCTGTGAAAAAACCAGGATTGTGTCTCCATCCCCGATATATCAGCGGCATCCCCCAGTACCAGTGAGAAACAACCATCGCCTTCCTAAAAAGAGGTCAAGGACAATCTAGCTTCACGGGCTCACAGAAGTTCGCTACAAAATGAGAGTTTCTAGGGAAAACGTAGTATTGGTAATCCACGTACCGGGCAGTTTTAAACTTTTTGTACTACCTTGCTTTTTCCCACAACATTCTATTACTTTTATTTTCCTTCAGAAGAGCAAACAAAGGCACGGGGATTAACTCGCTCAATGTGATACTGCATAAAGTGGTAGGGCTGGCTCATTAGGTGGAAGGGGAGTCACAAGGCGGGAGCAAACAGCCCCAGAGACCTTCAAATCTGAAGCACCACCCCAGCCGCCCCAAGCCAGTACGGCCCCAATGCAAACAAGCTCCGCCGAGGGAAACGCAAAAGAGCATCCCAGCCCCTCAAACCTCTGCTCTTAGCTGCTACTCCTTTTTTTCTCCAAACAAAATACAGCTAGCTGTTGACCATAAGCGCATTTCGGGGAAGTTTGAAAGGTTCCTGAGGAGCTGACCTAAAGCTCCAAAGCCAGGGAAAAAAAGATGGCTGCTACGTCGTCTTCCTGGGCGGAAGTGCCTCTGACTCCCAGGAGCACTAGGACTACACTTCCCAGAATTCCACGGCACTGCCTTCCTCGAGCAGGAAGTGCCTGCAACTACCTGGAGCGACTGGACCTACATTTCTCAGGATTCCGCAGAAGAAGCAATTACAGCCTAACTGTAGCTGAACTATGTGCGATTACACGGAGCTCCGGACAACATATCACAGAATGCTGGAGTTGAGGGAAAAGCAGAACAGTATCCCCCTCCTGGACTACACTTCCGGAATGTCCCAGCCTTCTGATGTGGAAGTGCGAACTATCTTGAGCCCCTGGTTTTCATTTCCCAGAATCCCTCACGTCTCTTTAAGTATTATTATGGTCTCAGTGTTTATGGCCCCGCCAAATTAATATGTTGAAAACCTAACTCCCAAGGTGATGGTATTAGAAAGTGGAACCTGTGGGAAGTGATCAGATCAAGAGGGCAATGCCCTCATGAATAGGATTAATGCTCTCTTCCAAGTGGCCTGAGGGAGCTCCTTTGCCTCTTTAGTATGTGAGGACACAGCCAGGACCACCCATGACTCAGCGGGACCTCACCAGACACTGAATCTGCTGGCACCCGATCTTGGGCTTATATGCCAGCAATTCCACTCCTAAGTAAATACCCAAGATAACTGAAACATATCCATACAAAAACTTGTTCTAAAAAAGTTCATAGCAGCATTAGTCGTATATTTTATTTATTTATTTATTTATTTATTTATTTATTTATTTAGAGACTGAGTCTCACTCTGAGACGGAGTCTCACTTTGTCGTCCAGGCTGGAGTGCAGTGACGTGATCTCAGCTGACTGCAACTTCTGCCTCCCAGGTTTGAGCAATTCTCTGCCTCAGCCTCCCGAGTAACTGGGATTATAGGCGCCTGCCACCACGCCCAGCTAATTTTTGTATTTTTAGTAGAGACAGGGTTTCACCATATTGGCCAGGGTAGTCTTGAACTCCTGACTCATGATTCACCTGCCTTGGCCTCCCAAAGTGCTGGGATTAACAGGTGTGAACCACTGTGCCTGGCTGAGCTATATCGTATTTTTACCCCACACCCATTAAGTGAATACCAAAAACAACTTGTGGAAATTGGATAATTTTATCAAATGTATTATTTGGGCAGGACTGACATTTACCATGCTTTTCCTTATTCTCTTACCACTTCTCTACCTGAGAAGTACTTGTTAATACTCAGGTAGAGAAGTACTAATAAGAGAGTTCTACACTTATTAGAAGGCAGTCATTTCAAAGTCTGGATGGAAATGTGGAAAGTCAGAAATCAAATAAATTCAAAGAGGGGTGATAAAATTTTTGTCATTGGCAACTACTTCTGACACTTTAAAAGTGTTAGAGTAAACCCCTGCCTTAACATTGATGGATTAAAAATTCAATTGTGTAATATTCAGTAATCTCCTGTCAGGTTAATTTTTTTTTTTTTTTTTTTTTGGTCTGCACTGTCAGAAAAATCACAAAAGATACTTCAACTTGGCCGGGTGCAGTGGCTCATGCCTATAATTCCAACACTTTGGGAGGCCAAGGCAGGTGGATTGCTTGAGCTCAAGAGTTCAAGACTAGCCTGAGCAACATGGTGAAACCCTGTCTCTATAAAACATACAAAAATTAGGTGGGTGTGGAGGCATGTGCCTGTGGTCCCAGCTACTCAGAGGGTGAGAGAGGAAGATGGATTGAGACTGGGAGGACAAGGCAGCAGTGAGCCATGATTGCACCACTGCAGTCCAGCCTTGGTGACAGAGCAAAATCCTGTCTCAAAAATAAAAATAAAGGTATTTCAACTTATATTTTCTACAACCTTGGGAAACTAGACAGGCTCTCAAACAATAAGAACCAAATTTGAGAGGAGAGACTAGAGAGAGGACAGCTGTCAACTGTAAAAGGGTAATATAATACTGTATTAATATTGTAGAATGCAGTATCTAGTGGTTTTCTACATTTTAACAAATGTTCATTTCCCCCAAATAATTTTCCAGGTTTCTTCCTCTGGGTACAATTTTCAAATATTGTACATTTACTCCTTTTTATTCAGTTAACAAAGTATTGAGCACACCTACAAGCACTAGTCAATGTTAAGGTTGTATAGATTCAGCCCCAAAGTTCCTGCCCCCATGGAGCTTACAGTCTAATGGACATCAATTCTGGCACCTTCATCAGTACACTTTTTTAAAGCCCAGGTCAAACCTATTTTCTAAGTCCTGTTTCCTAGGTGATATCCCATAAATGTCAAAGTTTTAACAGAATTCTTTATTTTACCACTTAACAATGGTTCTCAGCTGTGTGGTCACTGGACCACTGGGATATGTTGAGCTATTGCTTAAACGCTGCCTTAAATTAAAAAAAAAAAATTAAATAAGAGAATGCTACAGTAATTAGAAGGCAATCATTTCAAAGTCTAGATGGAGGCCAGGTGTGGTGCCTCATGCCTGTAATCCCAGCACTTTGGGAGGCAGAGGCAGGTGGATTACCTGAGGTCAGGAGTTCAAGACCAGCCTGGCCAACATGGTGAAACCCTGTCTCTACTAAAAATACAAAAATTACCTGGGTGTGGTGGCATGTGCCTATAATCCCGGCCACTCAGGAGGCTGAGGCAGGAGAATCGCTGGAAACAGGAGGTGGAGGTTGCAGTGAGCTGAGATTGCACTACTGCATCCAGCATGAGCAAGAGAGTAAGACTCAGTTAAAAAATAAAATAAAAAAAAAAAAGGCCTCGATGGAAATGTGGAGCATGGAGCATTACAAATCAAATAAATTCAAGGAAGCTGATAAAGAAAATTTTTCTCTCCTATTAAATCTGATTACAAGTATTCAGGTTGTACATGAGTTTTGTTTTAATCACCTTGTCAAACTTCCTTTCTCTGACAATTCTCTGATATTCTTACTACTCTCATCATTGTCATAGAATATACCAGCAGCATGAATTTTGTGATGACTTACAAGATTTGATCGCCAGCTAAAGCTCTTACCACATATTGCACATTTGTAAGGTTTCTCCCCAGTGTGAACTCGCCTGTGATACTGTAGTTGTGAAGACCGACTGAAGACTTTACCACACACCTCACATTTGTACGGTTTCTCTCCTGTGTGGACACTCTGATGAAGTTGGAGACTTGAGGCCTGACTGAAGTGCTTCCCACACTCCCCACACGTATATGGCTTTTCTCCAGTGTGCACCCTCTGATGCATGTCAAGATTCAAGCTCCATTTGAAGCCTTTTCCGCACTCCCCACATTTGTATGGCTTTTCTCCAGTGTGGACTTTTTGATGGGCTTGAAGGTGTGCACTCCGACTGAAGCTCTTCCCACACTCTTCACATTTAAATGGTTTTTCCCCACTGTGAACTCTCTGATGGGTCAGAAGATGTGAGGCCTGACTGAAGACCTTCCCACACTCCTCACAATTATATGGCTTCTCTCCTGTGTGGATCCTACAATGAATTTTAAGATCTGCTCTACGACTGAATCCCTTTCCACACTCTTCACATTTGTACGGTTTCTCGCCGGTATGGATCAGCTGGTGAATCTGAAGTCGTGAGCTCTGATTGAAGCCCTGCCCACACTCCTCACACTTATAAGGCTTCTGTACACTATGTGCTTTCAGATGGATTTTAAGATATGAACTCTGACGGAAGGCTTTTCCACATACCTCACATTTATAGGGTTTCTCCCCTGTGTGGACCACCAGATGTACTTGATAATGAATTTTCATTCTGAAGCTCTTCCCACACTCATTGCATTTGTACGGCTTCTCTCCAGTGTGGACTCCCTGATGGGCCTGAAAACTTGAACTGTAAATGAAACCCTTACCACACACTTTACATACATATGGTTTCTCTCCAGTGTGTATTCTCCGATGGGCCTGAAATTGTGAAGGCTGAATAAAACACTTACCACATTCTTCACACTTGTAAGGTTTCTCTCCTGTGTGGACCCTTTGATGGATACGAAGGTTTGAGCTACAAGTGAAACACTTACCACAGTCCTCACATTTGTATGGTTTCTCTCCTGTGTGGACCATGCAATGATTATTAAGTGCTGATCTACGACGGAAGTTCTTACCACATGTATCACATTTGAATGGTTTCTCCCCAGTATGGATTCTCTGATGTTCCTGAAGATGGGAAGCATGTATGAAGGCCCTCCCACATTCCTCACAATTGTAAGGTTTCTCTCCTGTGTGTAATTTGCAATGCACAGTAAGTGTTGATCTACGACTAAAGCCTTTCCCACATTCCACACATTTGAATGGTTTCTCTACAGTATGGACTCTCTGATGAGTTTGCAGATGTGAGCTTTGACTAAATTCCTTACCACACACATCACACTTATAGCGTTTCTCTCCCATGTGGACTCTCTGATGAATATGAAGAGCTGAGATGTAACAGAAGCTTTTTCCACACTCATCACATGTATGAGACTTCTCTCCTGGGTATAACTGTTGATGAAGGTCGAAGTTGCAGGCATCAGCAAAGGCCTTTTTGTCCTCCTTAGATTGGTAAAGCTTCTGTTTCATGTGAGTTGTATATAGTCCTGCCCTAACCTGGCAGGACAAATCACCTTGTTTGGGGAACTGAGAAATATTTATCATAGAGTCTTCGTACTTGACTAAATCACTTGCAATCTGTTTCCAGATTTGCCCCCAGGAAGGCTCTTCATGCGGTCCTGCCTCCATCTCACTGTGGATCTTGTCTGCTGTAAGGACAGAGAATTCAGAGATGTGAAAACTGAAGGCTCTGTTTAAAGTTTTCAAGATGTCATACTTAGGAGAGGGCATGGAATTTTAACAAATCCAGAGACGGTCCAGTTTGTGTAATTGTCTTTTCCACTGTGTATCATGATCTCTGATTTGCATGCCTAGAGAAATCAAGAGGTAGTCTATTGGATGCTATCTATTAGGCATTAGACCATACCAAGTCTCCTATGTGAGATACAAGTTAGAAGTCAGAGTTAATTTTTAAAATTAATAGCATTAGACCATACCAAGTCTCCTATGTGAGATACAAGTTAGAAGTCAGAGTTAATTTTAAAAATTAATAATATGATACAAATTGTACTGCCATTTCCACTGAATTTTAAAGTCAATGTAGAATAACAAATAGTAAATTATATAAACATGAAAAGCATAGGCTATGGTTATGCCTGTATAGCTCAGCATTTTGGGAGGCTGGGGCAGAAGGATATAGTTTGAGGCCAGGGTTTGAGACCAGTCTGGGCAACAAAGCAAGAATGTTTCTCTGTTAAAAATATTAAAAGGCCAAGCGTGGTGGCTCATGCCTGTAATCCCAGCACTTTGGGAGGCTAAGGCAGGTGGATAACCTGAAGTCAGGAGTTCGAGACTAGCCTGGGCAAAATGGTGAAACGCCGTCCCTACTAAAAATGCAAAAATTAGAGGCTGAGGGAGGAGAATGGCTTGAACCCGGGAGGCAGAGGTTGCAGTGAGCTAAGATCACGCCATTGCACTCCAGCCTGGGGGATAAGAGCAAGACTTCATCTCAAATAAATAAATAAATAAAATTAAAAGTTTAAAAAAATGTAGATAATATGAATCAACAAGAACTTCAAGGGAAAGCAAGAAAATAATAAAATACTTTGCAGTTTAGGTTCATGTTACATATTTAAATTAGTAAATAACCTGAAATATTTATATTTACATGTTCAAAGTACAGCTGCCCCTTGAACAACACAGGTTTGAATTGCATGTGTCCACTTATACATGGATTTTCTTCCGTCTCTGTCATCCCTGAGCCAGCAAGACCAACCCCTCATCTTCCTCCTTAAAAAAAATTTATTTTTTTTTTGAGATGGAGTTTCGCTCTTGTTGCCCAGGCTGGAGTGCAATGGCGCATTCTCGGCTCACCTCCACCTCCACCTCCTGGGTTCAAGCAATTCTCCTGTCTCAGCCTCCCAAGTAGATGGGATTACAGGCATGTGCCACCATGTCCAGCTAATTTTTTGCAAATTTATTAGAGACAGGGTTTCACCATGTTGGCCAAGATGGTCTCGATCTCTTGACCTCGTGATCCACCCTCCTCGGCCTCCCAAAGTACTGGGATTACAGGCGTGAGCCACCACGTCCGGCCCTAAAAGTTTCTTAATAACATTTTCTCTTCTCTCTATTGCAAGAATAAAGAATTATTTCTTTATTATAAAAATACAGTATATAATACATTATAACATATAAAATATATGTTGATTGACTGTTTATGTTATCAGTAGGTCTTTTTAGTTAAATTTTAGGGATCAGTCAAAAGTTATACATGGATTTTTACTGTGAGGGGAATTGGTGTCCCCAACCTCCACGTTGTTCAAGTGTCAACCATATTCTTGAATATTCTGCAAAACATATATACTTAATCTTATTTTTCTGTGTTGATAGACATTAAATGAGTTGGCAACTATTATAAACTCTTGACCACTTCTAATATAACTTACATTTAAAATGTGTCTTCTGAAAGGTTTATCCTTAATAATATTCCAAAATGTTTAACCTTGTACAAAGATATCTAAACATTTGGAAATAATTTTTTAAATGAACTCTTCCACAAAAGGTTAATGGAAAGAAGTACCTCTAAGAAAATTTTTACAGGGGAAAAACTTACTTCCCTCTCTTCAGGAATAGTGATTTAAAAGCTGCCTCTTGGCAGGGTGCAGTGGCTCACACCTGTAATTCCAGCACTTTGGGAGGCTGAAGCCAAAGGATCATGTGAGCCCAGGAGTTCAAGACCAGCCTGGACAATTTAGCAAGACTCTGTCCCTACTGAAAACCTTCTTTAAAAATTGGCCAGATGTGGTGGCATGCACCTGTAGTTCCCACTACTTGGGAGGCTGAGATGGAGAATCACTTGAATGCAGGAGTTAGAGGCTGCTTTGAGCCATGATTGTATCATTCTACTTCAACCTGAGTGACAGAGTGAGACTCTGTCATGGGAAAAAAAAAAAAAAAAAACTGCCTCCTCCTTTGTATCAGTAGACATTTGTTAAATGGTGTCTACATAACTCTGCCTTAGTCATTTTACTGGAAAGTTACTTCAATGTCTGGGTGACTGGAATGGTTAACATGACTTGCAGGCCGGGAGCAACTATCTAACCACATACTGACTAAAATATAGCACACAAGCAGATGGTGAAACTTTAGCTTCTGTTGGCAAGTGTCCTTGTCCTACATGACGACAAAAGGGAAAGAAAGTTGAACTGATAACATACATTATTCTAAAATCTAGCAGTAATTCAGACCTCCAGGAAAAAAAAGGGAAAAATAGGCTCCAATCTTTCACAACGGAGATGGAGATGGGGAGAAGAAAAAGACGATGTCACAGTGTATACTGTGAAAGCCAGTCTCACGGCAGGAGTTATATTCAGGCAGGAACTCTTCCCAGATAGCGATATGGACGGTTCCTCATGTCTTGTGGGATTTGCTCAATGTCAGCTCACCAGTGAGGCCTGCTTTATTACCCATTGAAAAATAATGAATCCTGTCTTCACCCAATTCACCTCTGGTAATTTGAACTTGTTTATGTTCTTCACAGCACTTTCACCACTTGGACATACTAAGTTACTGTCCTTCCCCCAACAATGCAGCATCGATGAGGGAAGGATTTTCTAATTCTGACATAATACTCATTTTACACTTTCCAACTTCATAACCACGGTCCAGAACTATGCCTGTCACAGTGAATGCTCAATAAATGCATGTTGAATGAATAAATGAACCCCAGTTTGACTTTTTCATGTGAGAATTTAAGCCAAGTCCTAGAAGAAAAACATCTTTTCCAAATAAGTAATTCCAAGTAGGAAAAGAACAGAAAATTTTAATTTTGCAGAGAAGTTGAAAAGCTGTACAAGGGACAGGTACATCCAGGATGAAGCTAATAATAAAATTTGAAGGTGGCAAGAAACACTTGGGATAAAAAGCAAGCAGAAAGGCCTATATACTGGTTCCTTCTGAAGCTCTGAATGTAGATAAGTTGGGCATTTCACAACAGTTTTTCAAATTAGCAACTGTAGCCCTTTAAAGAGCTGTGAAATAAATTTAAAAGCTTGTAATAAGCATTCAGAAAAAAACAACCAGGATAGAAACTATCAGAGCATTACCACCAGCAGGAAAGGGGTCCTTAGGTGAAATGCTTACTAAAGCTATAATGTCAATCTACACAGACATGTATTGTTTGTTTCATTGTTCCAGTTACAGTAAAAGATGCATTTCTTGCTATGGCTCATGCTCCAAAGAGCTAAAAACTTGGGTTCTAGAAGGTACCTGGTCCTTAATTAAACAAATTGCTTCAAATGGAAAGACAATTTCCAAGCATGACACCTTGAAAAAATATTAATAGGAGAGTATGTAACTCTTGGTATATTATATATATATGCTGAATATATGATTATATTTAACAAACTGACCCTTAAAAGTAGTAGTTTTTTGAGGGGGACAAGTCTCTCTGATGATGTGACAATTCTGAGCAAGAAGTTTCTTCATTCTTCCCAGGTTATAATGTCAACTAGTTGAAAATAAAAGCCAGGTCTTTATTAAAATAAAGGAAAAATTGTGTTTATATATATATTTTATTTTATTTTTTGAGACTCTGTCTTAATAATAATAGTAATAAAGTGTCCTTAGCTGGTCTGGGAAGCAGTAGGGAGGATGATGTGGCTGGAAAAGATGGAGCGAGAGGTAGAATACAGGAGATGTCGTCAGAGAGGCAGAGGGGGATGAAGAGCAGAACACGTAGGACTCTATAAGATCCTATAAAAGGCTTTAACTTTAAGAATAAGAAGCCATTCAGAGTTTTGTTTGTTTTTTTTTTTAGACATAGTGTCATTCTGTTGCCCAGGCTGGAGTGCAGTGGTGTGATCTCGGCTCACTGCAACCTCCGCCTCTTGGGTTCAGCTGATTCTCCTGCCTAAGCCTCTCAAGTAGCTGGGACTACAGGCGCTTGCCACCACGCCCGGCTAATTTTTGTATTTTAGTAGAGATGGGGTTTTGCCATGTAGGCCAGATTGGTCTCAAACTCCTGACCTCAGGTGATCCTCCTGCTTCAGCCTCCCAAAGTGCTGGGATTACAGGTGTGAGCCACTGCGCCCAGCCCCATACAGGGTCTTAAGCAGAAGAACAGCAATCTGACTTGTATTTCCAAAAGATTGCTTTGGCTGTAACATGGAGAACAGCCTGTAGGAGAACATACATATACCTTAAAGTATACCTGGCTTTGTACTGCAGTTAGTATGAAGGCTGTTGCAATCATCCAGGAGAGAGATTTGGCAATTTGGACCATATGACAGCAACGGCAGGGGAGAGGAGTACAACAGATGGACAATCATGCACAAGGACTCTCAGCTGCTTGGTTCTTACCTGATTTCTCTTTTCTTTGGGTTGCTTTCTTCATCATATCAAGCTTTTTTTCCCCTTCCAGAAGGAATACACCATGTCTGAAGGGGTGATGCCCTAAAACATGTAAAGTCACATATTTAAAACAAACACACTGAAGGTACAACTGAACTTACTGGCAATTTGAATTACTACTGTATACTGATCAATCAATCAAAAGCAGAGTTTTTCAAACACTTATACAGTTACCTAATGAAGAAATGTCAGTATTTCAAGATCTAGACAAATACACATAAATATGTGCTATAAAAACCTATTTCTGAAAGGAGCTAGCTAGCTTGCCTTAGGTAGACAGCAAAGGAAGTGTCTTTGGAGAGCCCCTAACCCATGGGTTTGTGAGGTTTTTTTTTGTTTTTTTTTGAGGCGGAGTTTCGCTCCTTACCCAGGCTGGAGTGCAATGGCACGATCTCGGCTCACCGCAACCTCCGCCTCCCGGGTTCAGGCAATTCTCCTGCCTCAGCCTCCTGAGTAGCTGGGATCACAGGCACGCGCCACCATGCCCAACTGATTTTTTGTATTTTTAGTAGAGACGGGGTTTCACCATGTTGACCAGGATGGTCTCGATCTCTCGACCTCGTGATCCATCCGCCTCGGCCTCCCAAAGTGCTGGGATTACAGGCTTGAGCCACCGCGCCCGGCCGAGTTATTTTTATGTAACATAAAAAGCAACCTGGAAAAACACTTTAAGCTACAGGCACCGATAAGGGAACTAGCACAAGGTGTTGTGCCTGGAGACATGCCCACTGCTGCACAGACAGAAAAACCTCCAGCCCATTAGGATAAAAATGTGTACAAATATCCAGCTCACTCAGATAAAGGAGCAAGGCCTGGCATAAGAACACCTTTGTCATTTGCATAGTCAGTGGGCTCCCAGGAAAAAGTTTCTTCTTCTTCCGTGGGCCTGGGTACAGTGGGTTCCAGTGGGCACTCTACTTTCTTTTTCTCTAACTGTAAGTCCAGCCTCTGTAAATCATCACTTCGGCCAGTTGGTCCCAGGCCAAGGTCCTGGGCCAAGCTAAGCCATACTTTCTCCAAAACAGCCCACAAACTAAGCACATTCCTTCTCCTTGCCAGTCCACAAAAATCCCACACCCCAGTTTCATAGGGTCACCTCTCTGCTGGCAAAAAGCTTTCTTCTTTTACTTATTAAACTTTCGGCCGGGCGCGGTGGCTCAAGCCTGTAATCCCAGCACTTTGGGAGGCCGAGGCGGGTGGATCACGAGGTCAAGAGATCGAGACCATCCTGGTCAACATAGTGAAACCCCGTCTCTACTAAAAATACAAAAATCAGCTGGGCATGGTGGTGCGTGCCTGTAATCCCAGCTACTCAGGAGGGTGAGGCAGGAGAATTGCCTGAACCCAGGAGGTGGAGGTTGCAGTGAGCCGAGATCGCACCATTGCACTCCAGCCTGGGAAACAAGAGTGAAACTCCGTCTCAAAAAAAAAAAAAACTTTCACTCCAACCTCCCCTTTCTGTGCTCCTTAATCTTCTTAAACAATAAAACAAAAAACTCTGGGTGTTATCTCAAACAACAAAAAACTGTTACATCTTGTTGCATTGCTAAACTACATTTCTAACCAACTTCTATTTTCTTTTTCTTTTGCTTTTTTTTTTTTTTTTTTTTTTTTTTGAGGCAGTCTCACTCTTGTCACCCAGGGTGGAGTACTGTGGCATGAGCTAGGCTCACTACAACCTCCGCCTCCCAGCTTCAAGTGATTCTCATGCCTCAGTCTCCCAAGTAGCTGGGATAACAAACATGTACCACCACATCTAGTCAATTTTCGTATTTTTTACTTTTTAGTAGAGATGGAGTTTTGCCATGTTGGCCAGGCTGGTCTCGAACTCCCGAACTTGGGTGATCCACACACCTTGGCCTCCCAAAGTGCTGGGATTACAGGTGTTAGCCACCATGCTCAGCCCCAGGCTATCTTCATTAAATCTCCTTCCAAGGGTTCTCATACCACTCATGCAACTTACCAGTGTTATTTGCTATGTATTCCATTTCTTTTAATGAACTCTGACATTTTCTATCTCATTTTATTTCACGAAAAACTGTTGATAGAAAAGTCAGGTCCGGGCCGGGCGCGGTGGCTCAAGCCTGTAATCCCAGCACTTTGGGAGGCCGAGGCGGGTGGATCACGAGGTCAAGAGATCGAGACCATCCTGGTCAACATGGTGAAACCCCGTCTCTACCAAAAATACAAAAAATTAGCTGGGCATGGTGGCACGTGCCTGTAATCCCAGCTACTCAGGAGGCTGAGGCAGGAGAATTGCCTGAACCCAGGAGGCAGAGGTTGCGGTGAGCCGAGATCGCGCCATTGCACTCCAGCCTGGGTAACAAGAGCGAAACTCCCTCTCATAAAAAAAAAAAAAAAAAAAAAAAAAAAAAAAAAAAAGTCAGGTCCGGCCGGGCGCAGTGGCTCAAGCCTGTAATCCCAGCACTGTGGGAGGCTGAGGCGGGTGGATCACGAGGTCAAGAGATCGAGACCATCCTGGTCAACATGGTGAAACCCCGTCTCTACTAAAGATACAAAACATTAGCTGGGCATGGTCGCGTGTGCCTGTAATCCCAGCTACTCAGGAGGCTGAGGCAGGAGAATTGCTTGAACCCAGGAGGCGGAGGTTGCGGTGAGCCGAGATCGCGCCATTGCACTCCAGCCTGGGTAACAAGAGTGAAACTCCGTCTCAAAAAAAAAGAAAAGAAAAGTCAGGTCCACAAATGTGGGTGACTAATTCAAAACTTCCTAAGTGTTGAACACCTGAATACCCAAAATCACTCCAGGAGACTGACATTTAGTGTCACAAGGCTCATGTCCTTACCCACTGAGAGCAGGTTCCTGAAGTTCTCCAGCATCACATCTCTGTACAGATTCCTCTGGACAGGGTCCAGCAGCCCCAGCTCCTCCTCAGTGAAGACCACAGCCACGTCCTTGAAGGTCAGCCCCTCCTATAACATCAAACACACTTTGCTTCAGCATTATTAACAACCACTTGAAAAGAAACAGCACGGAGAAGGTGGACAGTATATGGGGTAAGTTGGTCCAGATTTTCAGAGACTTAATGTGTAGATTTCTCAGCCCTTCCCCTTCCATCTTACCAATGCCACACTTCCATTTTCCTTAGCATCGGTAAAAGTACATCAGCGACAATAGCCTTCGATGTTTTCTTTGTGCCTTCACTGAGTCTATTTGTAAGTAACCATCTAAGACTCTAAATGATGCATCCTGAGCCATACAGGTTTCACCTTTTGGTAAATATTACCAATTGCCCCCAGAAACATTTAGCAAGTCAGAACCAACATACATGATAACATCCACCTTCCTCCTCTCACACAGGAACCCTGGATGCTATCCCTTTTCATGAAAGTCTGCCAAACTAACAAGCTTTTGGGAACATATCTGGAACTGGTTCATAGTTTTCTTTCTGTTTACCCAGGGCACACAGCACCATCACTAACTGCAGCATTTGGTGTCATGATCTGGAGCCATCATACATCAGTGTACACCACAAGGGTGCCCTTCAAAGTTGTGTGACCTTGGGTAAGTTCACCTAGTTTCATCTTGGGTATGATGGTTCTTCCATGACAGAGTTTTTTCAAAGGCTGAACAAGAGACTACATATAGCATTTGGAATAGTGTGCAGCACAGATGAAGTGCCTAACAAACATTAGCTATTATTTATTATTATTATCATCATCTATTTCATCTTACTTCATGACTGCATATTATTCAAGGGAACTGATGATCTGTACCTACCTGTTCTAAATAATGAATATTTAAATTTAAATATTTTTCTCGTCATAGCCAATCCAGCAAAAACATCATTTTATGTGGATCTTACTTTTTTATTTTTATTTTATTTTGTTTTATTTTTGATTCAGTTCATAGCCAAAACTTTTTTTTTTTGAGACTGAGTTTCACTCTTGTTGCCCAGGCTGGAGTGCAATGGCATGATCTCGGCTCACTGCAACCTCTGCCTCCCGGATTCGAGTGATTCTCCTGCCTCAGCCTCCCAAGTAGCTGGGATTACAGGCATGCACCACCATGCTCAGCTAATTTTGTATTTTCAGTAGAGACAGGGTTTCACCATGTTGGTCAGGCTAGTCTTGAACCTCTGACCTCAGGTGATCAGCCTGCGTTGGCCTCCCACAGTTCTGGGATTATAGGCACGAGTTACCACGCCAAGTAGATCTTACTGTACTTTCATGTGTATTTAAAATGATTGCAGGTCATGCACAGTGGCTCACACCTGTAATCCCAGCACTTTGGCAGGCCAAGGCTGATGGGCTGCTTGAGCCCAGAAGTTCAAGACCAGCCTGGCTAACATGGTGAGACCCCGTCTCTACAAAAAATTAGCTGCATGTGGTGGTATGTGCCTGTGGCCCTACGTACTCAGGAGGCTGAGGTGAGAGAATTGCTGGAGCCCAGGAAATCAAGGTTGTGGTAAGCCATGTTCGCACCACTGCACTCTAGCCTGGGCGACAGAGTGAGACCCTGTCCCAAAAAAATAAGTAAAATAATTGCAAATGAAAAATAAAACACCTAAAAATAAACACAATTAAAATTATAATCACATAATGGCAGATTTTCTTCCTTTTTCCTGCCTCCCTAATCTTTCAAGAGAATACAAGTACCTTGTTTCTCTGCATGATGACCAACATCAGGTTACAAATTTTCCAATGGTTTTGGTAATCTAATTAAGAATAACATTTCTTTTTTTTTTTTTTTTTTTTTTTGAGACGGAGTTTCGCTCTTGTTGCCCAGGCTGGAGTGCAATGGCGCGATCTCAGCTCACTGCAACCTCTGCCTCGTGAGTTCAAGCGGTTCTCCTGCCTCAGCCTCCCAAGTAGCTGGGATTACAGGCATGCACCACCATGTCCGGCTAATTTTGTATTTTTAGTAGAGACGGGGTTTCTCCATGTTGGTCAGGCTAGTCTTGAACTCCTGACCTCAGAAGATCTGCCCGCCTTGGCCTCCCAAAGTGCTGTGATTACAGGCATGAGCCACCACACCAGCCAACAAGTCTTTTTACTAATCTTACTTGATTATAAATGAATACTAGTCTTTATTATGAATTTCACCTTTTTTGGCACCTGTGTGGTAAATATTTTTGCCCTAGCTTGTTATGTTTTCTCCTAATACTCTGTAAGGTATCTTTTGTCATGGAGTAGTTTAAAGGTTTTATATAAACACTGTGCTGATCATCGTCCTTGTGCACCCAGAGTGCTGAGCATCTTATAGTGCACCTGAGGGGCCGTCACGTTAGGAAGACAAGGTGTCCCCCAATACCTATGGACGTCATCACCCAACAGGGTACTCCAGACACCCACACCACGGGTCATTCAATTGAGAAATATTTGTTTCCTTTTGTCTCTCACTTGCACTTGAATGGAATGGCTAATGTTCCTGACGCCTGACTTCCTATGCCAATCTGAGCAGGTTTCTCATATTTCACCTGTTTAAGAGAAAGAGGCCGGGAACCTCCTCACTCCACTGCTCTGAGTAAATGTAGTAACAGAACACAAGTGACTGGCAAATGTTCAGCATCACTGGACATTTTAAATGAAGGTTACTACCTACTACTTTGGTCAAACTGGTTACTACATGAAGGTGTAAGACACTAGTAAATAAAATGCATACAAAGTATGATTGAGGCCTGGAGAACACAAGACTAGCCCTTCCTATACGAAAACTCCAACAATATTTGTGTAAAGCAGCATGATAGCCTGTTGTGCTATGCCATGTTAGAATATTCTATCTACAAAACAGCCAATGTGGTACATGTCAAAAGTACCCTTTCAAAATTGAACTTCCAGTAACATAAAGACAAAAAAAATCAGCAGAAAGTTTTCAGAATTGATTTTTGAGGAAAAGGTTATGTAGGAAAATTGTCACTGCAGTGTTATTTAAAACAGTGAAATCCTTTTTTTTTTTTTTTTTTTTTTTTTTGATAAGGAGTTTCGCTCTCGTTACCCAGGCTGGAGTGCAATGATGTGATCTCAGCTCACCACGACCTCCGCCTCCTGGGTTCAGGCAATTCTCCTGCCTCAGCCTCCTGAGTAGCTGGGATTACAGGTACACACCACCATGCCTAGCTAATTTTTTGTATTTTTAGTAGAGACCGGGTTTCACCTTGTTGACCAGGATGGTCTCGATCTCTTGACCTTGTGATCCACCCGCCTCGGCCTCCCAAAGTGCTGGGATTACAGGCTTGAGCCACCGCGCCCGGCAACAATGAAATTCTTCAATCACCTACTTGTCTGTGACTGGGAAGTAGTCAAAAATAAAAAGAAACATTAATGCCGGGTGCAGTGGCTCAAGCCTGTAATCCCAGCACTTTGGGAGGCTGAGGCGGGTGGATCACAAGGTCGAGAGATCGAGACCATCCTGGTCAACATGGTGAAACCCCGTCTCTACTAAAAATACAAAAAATTAGCTGGGCATGGTGGCGCGTGCCTGTAATCCCAGCTACTCAGGAGGCTGAGGCAGGAGAATTGCTTGAACCCAGGAGGCAGAGGTTGCGGTGAGCCGAGATCGCGCCATTGCACTCCAGCCTGGGTAACAAGAGCGAGACTCCATCTCAAAAAAAAAAAAAAGAAAAAAAAGAAACATTAATTAAATGGGAATATGGCATAACCTCAAAAAATAAACATTATCTACTACCTAATGAAAAAATACTAATTAAAAATGAAATATATATGAATACTAATACAGTTATGAATGCACATCAGGAAAAGACTGTAAGAAAATTAAAACGGCTAATATGTAAGCAGAGAGGTGGGAGAACTGTTCATTCCCACTAATTTTTCTACTATAAAAGAAATACAGTTGTCCTTCAATATGCTTGGGGAATTGGTTCAAGGACCCCTGAGGATACCATAATTTGTGATGCTCAAATCTCTTATCTAAAACAGTGTTTGTAGTACAGTCAGCCCTCCATATCCATGGGTTCCACATCCGTAGACTCGACCAACCACAAAAGGAAAATACATATGGTCAGCCTTACATATACTCAGGTTTCAATCTGCAGTTGGTTGAATCCACGGATGCAAAACTCAAAGATGCATAACCCCTAGATGTGAAACCCACAGATACAGAAGGTCGACTGACTGCAATAATAAAATAAACAACATCTAAAACCAAAGTCAACTCAAAAGGCAGAGTTGTTCTTGAGTTTTCCTGAGCAAACATGGCAATGTGAATAGTGAGATGCAATTTTAACAGCAAGACAGGTAAGCCTTATTCACCTTGAATGTGGTCATTTTTCCTCCTGTTTCTGGGAATTGCAGAGTCCTGGGTTATACCATTTGAGAGAAGGCAGAATCGTGCCTGGAACACTATTGAAGACATAAAAAGTCTTTTTAAAGTTTTTTAAAATCAGGAAATAGTCATAGGAGTAACAATAATGAGAAGAATAAGAATGAGCATGACAGAATATGGTAGGTCATGAGTTTATTATCTCTTTATTTGGAAATTTCCATGGATAAACAGATAAGCAGAAAAACACTGAGAAAAGTATAACAAAAAGTTTGTAAAACATTTATAAGAGTGACATGAAAAGGTGGCCAGGGATGTCCCCACCAACACAGAAGTGTATTGTAAATTAGCTCATGAATGTTCACAGCAGCATTATTCATAATCCCAAACTGTGCACAACCAAAATGCCCTCCTAGGGAAAAATGGATAGACAAATCGTGGCATAGCCATACAAGGGAATCTTATTTGGAAATTGAGAGGAATGAAGTACTCACTCACGCTACAACTTGCGTGAACCTTGGAAACACTATCCTGAGTTGATGAAGCCAGGCACACAAAACCACAGATTGTATGATTTCACGTATATGAAATGTCCAGAACAGACAAATGTATATAAAGAATAAGTAGGTTACTTGTTGATGAGGATTTGGGGTAAGAACGGGGATTAACTGTAAATGAGCAATAGGAGTCCAATTGGGGGATGAAAATGATCTAAGCTAAATTATAATGATTACTGCACTCAGCAAAGTTCCTAAAGATGACTGAATTATAAACTTGGAATTGGTGAATTCTATGATAGGTAAAGTCTACCTCAATAAAGTTGGGAAAAAATTATTAATCTACATGTCACTGAATTTAAAAAGACTGAGTTCTGAGTCCACATTGATAGAATATTTTCTTTTGAATGAATATATAAGCAAACAGAGAAACAGAGGATGCTCTTCTTTACAGTATAATGCCCACTAACAAGTATATCTACCCATAAAAAGTAATTTAATTTTATTATTTATTTATTTGAGATGGAGTTTTGTTCTTGTGGCCCAGGCTGGAGTGAATGGTGCAATCTCAGCTCACTGCAACCTCCTCCTGCTGGGTTCAAGCAATTTTCATGCCACAGCCACCCAAGTAGCTGGGACTACAGGAGCCCAACACCACATGCAGCTCATTTTTGTATCTTCAGTAGAGACGAGTGTTTTTGCCATGTTGGCCAGGCTGGTCTCAAACTCCTGGACAGTGATCCACCAGCCTCGGCCTCCCTAAGTGCTGGGATTACAGGTGTAACCCACCATGCCCAGCCCTCTATACTGTTTTGCAGCTTTTCTATAGACTTAAATTTAAATAATTACTGTATTAAAGTTTTTAAAAATCAGGAAATAGTCACAGGAGTAACAATAATGATAAGAATAAGAAGGAGCATGACAGAATACGGCAGGTCACCAGTTTATTATTTCTTTATTTGGAAATTTCCATGGATAAACAGATAAGCGGAAAAACACTGAGAAAAGTATAGTAAAAAGTTTGTAAAACATTTATAAGTAAATAAATATAAACATAGAACCACTATAACAAAACGCATTAGAAATTTAACCATTACTGCCAGGCGTGGTGGCAGTAATGCCTGTAATCCTAGCACTTTGGGAGGCTGAGGCAGACAGATCACGAAGTCAGGGGATGGAGAACATCCTGGCTAACACAGTGAAACCCTGTCTCTACTAAAAATACAAAAATTAGCCAGCTGTGGTGGCATATGCCTGCAGTGCCAGGTACTTGGGAGGCTGAGGCAGGAGAATTGCTTGAACACAGGTGATGGAGGCGGAGGTTGCAGTGAGCCACTGCACTTCAACATGGGTGACAGAGAGAGACTCCGTCTCAAAAAAAAAAAAAAAAAAAAAAAAAAGAAAAGAAAAGAAAAGAAAAAGGAAAAGAAATTAACCATTACTACCTTTCCAACCTGGAATCATAGGTAATTAAAAGTTTCATATCTTCATATTTCTGTAATTTCTCAATGATCCACAGTGATATGGTTCTATTAGAATGTGAAATATTTTTAATAAATGAAACAAAATAGTTGACAGTTTTTAAAAATTCAGAAAACTCCAAGCGGATTAGCCTTGCTCTCAACGTCCTTCAGTCAAGTTCTAACCTACTTTCTCCACCTGCGTCCAGCTAGTTCCTCTGCCTCAGTGAGAATATATCCAAGAGATGATCAACTCGGGCTCTGACCCTGAGTGCCTAGGTTCCATCCCCAGTTTCACCTCTTACTACTCGGGTGACTACGGGCAAATAACTGGTACTCCCTGCGTCTCACTCTCATCTTTTTTTTTTTTTGAGACGGAGTTTCGCTCTTGTTACCCAGGCTGGAGTGCAATGGCGCGATCTCGGCTCACCGCAACCTCTGCCCCCTGGTCTCAGGCAATTCTCCTGCCTCAGCCTCCTAAGCAGCTGGGATTACAGGCACGCGCCACCATGCCCAGCTAATTTTTTTTGTATTTTTAGTAGAGACGGGGTTTCACCACGTTGACCAGGATGGTCTCGATCTTTCGACCTCGTGATCCACCCGCCTCGGCCTCCCAAAGTGCTGGGATTACAGGCTTGAGCCACCGCGCCCGGCCTTTTTTTTTTTTTTTTTTTTTTTTTTTTAAGACGGGGTTTCACCATGTTGCTCAGGCTGGTCTTGAACTCGCGACCTCAGGTGATCCACCCGCCTTGGCCTCCAAAGTGCTTGGATTACAGGCGTGAGCTACTACGTCCGGCCCACACTCATCTTTAGAGTGGAAAAAAGCAGCACCTCTCCACAAAGCCACAGTGCGGCTTAAATGTATTTAATTGTACACAGCCCCTACAATTGAAGTTAGCAATTAAGGCTTAATTATTATAAATACACATGCCCTATTACACATGCTACAAAAATACAGTCTCTGTAAAAGAAAAATGACAAGTCACACTCACTCAGGTGGAGCTTTGCTTTCAGAAGCCAGTGTAAGTCACTCCGTTCAGTCCTTTTTCAGGCTGGGGAAGGAGAAAGCTGTGTGTGAAATACCCTCACCCGGTCACTGTCCTCAAGAAAAGTTAAATATTCCCCTCCCTTCGTGGAAGTGGACACAACCCTCGCCTTCCTAAAACGAGGTCAGAAGGCGTCGCGGATCGTCCAGCGTCCTGCAGAGATCAGAGACAAGGGCTTGGGGCCTCTCCTGCTGGAGCTCTGACGCCGCCCGGGGACCTGACAGGCTTCATGGGAAATTAACAAGAGACCACCAGTCACCAAGTGACAGGGACTGCTTGTGCTGTGTAACCTATTCCAGTTCCCAAAACGATTCTACAAGGATGGTCCTAAAGTCCCTATTTTAAAGAACAGCAAGGAGAGGCCCAGGGAGATTAAGTAACACCCCAACATTACACTGTCATGAGGTGGCCAAGCGCCTCGAATGCAGGGAGGAGGAGTGGGCGAGCTCAGAGCCCCGGAAATCCTGCAACCAGGCGAGACGCGACCCGACCGAGTCCCAGTGACCCCGCCGCGGCCCCCCCCATCCCACGGGACGCGAGGAGAGCCCCCAGCCCAAGAAGGCCCCGCTGACAGAACAAAAGCCGCCGCCCTCACCCCTCCAAACCTCTGCTCTCCAACAAGGATTCTTTTCCCATAACCGGACCTCCGGGTCCCGAGAAGCCCCAAGATTAATTCTCTGACATTAGAAAGGGCCCGCAAAACGCGGAACTGGATCAAACTACCGCGGAATGCCCGGCGGCAACCGCACCCCCACCAGCCCTTCCCGAGCGGAAGTGGCTGTGACTCCACTGATCGTCGAGACTACATTTCCCAGAATCCCCGGGACCCGCCTGCAAACGGACCACGACTCACCTGAGACTTTGGACTACACTCAGAATGCTGTGGGAAAAACATCCAGAATGTCAACGTTCAGGGGAAAGCGTGGATACTCCGCGGTGCTCCTTGACTACGCTTCCCGAAATGCCCATGGGGAAACGAATCCTCTATCCCTGAGCGCCCGGTAGGGAATGTGGACTGTGACTCTGAAAGTCGTCCTTCCTCCCTCTCTTTGAGTCCTTGAGTGAAAATACTGAACAAACAGGAATTCCTGAAGTCTAAACGCCTCCCAGGACTACAGGAATGTTACTGGAAAGAGAACAAACGAGGAGATAACGATCTTGAAGAAATAAACAGGGAATGTAGGGGTCAGTAGATAACTGAAAGAATGCTAATGATTACTATAAACTGATAATATGAGGCTAAAACAAAGTGTTAAAAATGAGCAGAAGTAAAATGGTTTGGGAGAGGCAATGAAGAACGAAGAAGGTGCCCTACTCCAGAAGCTGTGATACCACTGGTTTGGCCGGCAAAACAATCATCATTTGAGAGGGCCAGTGGGGAAGCCCTGTACTAGAGGAAAAGCTATCTTCCTTCATTTACATTTTCATGGTATGCTGTATGCTGAAGAGGTAAAACACCAAATTTCAGAAAAGCTCGTAAATTGCCCAGTATTTCAAGGCAAGTGTAACTGGTGAAGCGTTTGGCATTGGTGTCAGACACCCAATGTCTATGATTTATTTAATGCAGTAGCATTGAGAAGGATCCTATACATGAGGGAACGTATTTGAGTTTCTTCCTTTATATTTTTTGGTTAAAATGCCGTTATTATAGTTAGTAATTTGGAATCTGACTTATGTTAGTTAATACGAATTAATAATAGAATAAAGCAAAACCAGAAAACAACCCATCTAAAATCCTTCTTGAAGATAACCGGATTTTTTTCTACCCATAAACATACATTAGCCTATTGATATGGTTTAGATCTGTTTCCCACCCAAATCTCATGTTGAAATGTAATCCCCAATTTATCATGGGGGGGTTTCTAATGGTTTAGCACCATTCCCTTAGTGCTATTCTCCTGATGGAGTTCTTTTTTTTTTTTTTTTTTTTTTTTGAGACGGAGTTTCGCTCTTGTTACCCAGGCTGGAGTGCAATAGCGCAATCTCGGCTCACCGCAACCTCCGCCTCCCGGGTTCAGGCAATTCTCCTGCCTCAGCCTCCTGAGTAGCTGGGATTACAGGCACGAGCCACCATGCCCAGCTAATTTTTTGTATTTTTAGTAGAGACGGGGTTTCACCATGTTGACCAGGATGGTCTTGATCTCTCGACCTCGTGATCCACCCGCCTCGGCCTCCCAAAGTGCTGGGATTACAGGCTTGAGCCACCGCGCCCGGCCGGATGGAGTTCTTATGAGATCTGGTTGTTTAAAATTGTGTGGCACCTCCCTCTTTGCTCTTTTCCTCCTACTCTGGTCATGTGAAGTGCTGGCTCCCTGGTCCCCCTCCACCATGGTTATAAGTTTCCTGAGGCCTCCCCAGAAGCCGAGTTCTTCCTCTACAGCCTGCAGAACCCTGCATCAGCCAGTTAAACTTCTTTATAAATTATCCATACTCTTGTATTTCTTTAGAGCAATGCAGAAATGGACTAAAACACTTATCAGTCTATATTTTTGTTTTTTAAAAAACTAAGTCTCATGTCCTATATTTTATAAACTAAAAAAAAAAGACCTTTTCATAATTTCATTTACACATAAAAACAGGTTACTGTGCTAACCACCCAATGCCATACATCTCCCTCTGAAAATTGACTGGCATTTCTCTACTAGTTACAGCTGTATTGTTGCTCTAGTGTGCCCTTCAAATGATAAAATTTATTGAGATGACCCCTCTTGGCCAGGCACCTGTAATCCCAGTACTTTGGCAGGCCAAGGCTGGTGGATTACTTGAGGCCACGAGTTTTGAGACCAGCCTAACCAACACAGTGAAACGCTGTCTCTACTAAAAATGCAAAAAATTAGCTGGCATGGCATGGTGGTGCATGCCTGTAGTACCAGCTACTCAGGAGGTTTAGGTATAAGAATCCCTTAAACTGCTGGGCACGGTGGCTCAAGCCTGTAATCCTAGCACTTTGGGAGGCCGAGGCGGGTGGATCATGAGGTCAAGAGATCAAGACCATCCTGGTCAACATGGTGAAACCCCGTCTCTACTAAAAATACAAAACATTACCTGGGCATGGTGGCACGTGCCTGTAATCCCAGCTACTCAGGAGGCTGAGGCAGGAGAATTGCCTGAACCCAGGAGGAGGTGGTTGCGGTGAGCCGAGATCGCGCCATTGCACTCCAGCCTGGGTAACAAGAGCGAAACTCCGTCTCAAAAAAAAAAAAAAAAAGAATCCCTTAAACCTAGGAGGCCGAGATCACACCACTGCACTTCAGCCTGGATGACAGAATGAGACACAGTCTCAGAAAAATAAAAATGGAAGGAAGAAAGGGAAGGAGGGAAGAAGGAAGGGAAATGCACTCCAGCTGGGTAACAGAGCAAGATTATGTCTCAAAAAAAAAAAAGGAAGGAAGAAGTGTAAATCAATCAATATCTTCTTTTTTTTTTGAGACGGAGTTTCGCTCTTGTTACCCAGGCTGGAGTGCAATGGCGCGATCTCGGCTCACCGCAACCTCCGCCTCCTGGGTTCAGGCAATTCTCCTGCCTCAGCCTCCTGAGTAGCTGGGATTACAGGCACGCGCCACCATGCCCAGCTAATTTTTTGTATTTTTAGTAGAGACGGGGTTTCACTATGTTGACCAGGATGGTCTCGATCTCTCGACCTCGTGATCCACCCGCTTCGGCCTCCCAAAGTGCTGGGATTACAGGCTTGAGCCACTGCGCCCGGCCTCAATATCTTCTAAATAATTTTTTTTTAATTTCCAGAGTTATATTTTTAACATTTTGATCTTCAGGGATTCCAACATTCAAGATTATGTCTTTCTGCATTATGATCAATTCCTGTCCTTAGTGCATGATCTCAGGCTGGAGTGCAGTGGCATGATCTTGGCTCACTACAACCTCTGACCCCTGGGTTCAAGCAATTCTCCTGCCTCAGCCTCCCGAGCACCTGTGACTACAGGCGTGAGCCACCACACCCAGCTAGTTTTTCCTGTTGTTTTTGTTTTGTGTTTATGTATTTTTAGTAGAGATGGGGTTTCACCATGTTGGCCAGACTGGTCTCCAACTCCTGACCTCAAGGGATCCGCCTGCTTTGGCCTCCCAAAATGCTGGGATTACAGGCATGAGCCACTGCACCTCACCAGAGAAATCCACTGATAATATTACTGAGGATCTCTTGTACATGACAAGTCACTTTCATGCTGCTGCTTTCAAGATATTCCTTTTTTTATTATAATGTGTCTCAATGTGGGTCTCTTTGGGTTTATCCTACTTGAAGTTCATTGAGATTCTTGGATTTGCAGGTGCATGTGTTTCTCAAATTTGAAAAGTTTTTAGTGCTTTAGTTAAATAAGCTTTCCATCCCTTTCTTTCTTCATCTAGGACTCCTATAAAGCATACATTGGTTCAGCCTGGGTGACACAGCAAGACTCTGTCCCAAAAAGACTGCATGCCATAGTTTTCCAATACTATGTGCACAAAAAGTTAATATAACAGGCCTGAGACTGCAAATTCTAGAAAGGACTGCTACAAGACTGGCTTTTAGCTGGTGTTAGGAAACATGAGCTTTGAGAGGGTTGTCACCATTCCATAACCGGTAGGCACGGTTCAAGTTATTTTGAACACTTGCTCCCCTTCTTGGAGTCTAGAATCTTGATCTGTACCAGAGGGATGGTACCTACATGATCGGTCCCAGTAAGAACCTTAGGTACGGGTTGATAATAAACATCCATTGTAGACATTTCACACGTACTATCATAATTCAGTACCGGAGGAATTGAGACCTGTCACTTCATGCACAAAGGATCTTTACAAGTTTATGTCTGATTCCCTCCAGATATTGTCTAAGAACCTTTTCCCTTTACTATTTGTATCCTGTCACCATTATAGTCATGAGTAAAACTATATTCTGAGTCCTCTTAGCAAATCACAGAACCTGGAGAGATTGTCTTAGGGACTTCCAACCCGCTATGCAAATTGATACAGCATGGATCTTCATAAAGTACCTAGCATCCTGAAAAGATACAGTCTAGAACATTAAGTATAAAAATCAAATCTATCTTTAGTAGCCATTTTACTGAAGAAAGCATTTTAACCTAATGTACTCAAAATATCACCTTGGTGTCTATGAATGGAATGGCACTCAAACCTGCTCTTTGTCCTAACTGGTTCCACACTGTTAGAGGCCCAACTGCTGTTATGCTATTTTTCCCTACCTATACAGAATCTTTTTTTTTTTGAGACGGAGTTTCGCTCTTGTTACCCAGGCTGGAGTGCAATGGTGCGATCTCAGCTCACTGCAACCTCCGCCTCCTGGGTTCAGGCAATTCTCCTGCCTCAGCCTCCTGAGTAGCTGGGATTACAGGCACATGCCATCATGCCCAGCTAATTTTTTGTATTCTTATTAGAGATGGGGTTTCACCATGTTGACCAGGATGGTCTCGATCTGTTGACCTTGTGATCCACCCGCCTCAGCCTCCAAAGTGCTGGGATTACAGGCTTGAGCCACCGTGCCCAGCCCAGAATCTTTATTGATTTTTTACATCCACATGTATACCCCTTTTTTCTATCTCCAAGATTTTTCCACTCCTTGACTTACACTTAAAGCAAGCTCACATGCATTATGTATGAGGCAGCTGAAGACACTCATCAATTTTTCTCTATATTCGAACTGGAGAATTGTTTTGAAAACCAATTTCCACAATCCTATTCCTTAGAGTCATGTCATACTATTATAAGATACTTGGTACATATCCAAAGAAAAGGAAATCAGTATGTTAAAGAGTTAGCTCTACCTCCCGTGTTTTTTGTAGCACTACTCACGATAGCCAAGAAATAGGCCAAGATACGTAATCAACCTAAGTGTCTGCTGGATGAATGAATAAAGAAAATGTGGCAAATATACACATCAGAGTACTACTTAGCCATGAAAAACGACAAAATTCTGTCACAACAAAGTCAATGAGCCTTACAGGGAATATATTAAGTGATATATGCCAGGCACAGAAAGGTAAATACCACATGTTCTCATGCATATGTGGAAGCTCAAAAAGTTAATTTCATGGAAGTAGAGAGTAGAATAGTAGTTCTTAGAAGTGACGAGGGAGGATGGTAGCCAAAGGTTGGTTAATCAATGTAGAAATACAGGCAGGTAGGAGGTAAGTTCTAGTATTTTACACCACTGTGGGGTGACTGTAATTAACAACTTATTATTTTCAAATAGCTAGAATAGTGAATTTTAAGGGTTCCCATCACAATGATCAATGTTTGAGGTATGTTAATTACATTAATTTCATCATTATACCTTGTATATTTGTATTAACCATCATACTGTACCTCATAAACAAGTAAAATAATTATATGTCATTTAAAAATAATGACAAAAGCATATCAAGATTCAAACGCCTCTTGTAGCGCTTCCCACAGTCCTCACATTTACATGGTTTCTCTCCACTTTGGTCTCTTTGTTGGTCTTTAAGGCATGAACTGTGCACAATGCTCTTCCCACAGTCCTCACATTGAAGTGGTTTTTCTCTTCTGTGGAGTCTCTGATGGGTTAGATGAGTTGAGGCCCATCTGAAGCTCTTTCCACACCTCTCACATTTGTATGGTTTTTCCCCAGTGTGAACACTCTGATGGGAATGAAGCTGTGAATTCTCAGTAAATCTCTTCCCACACTCTTCACATTTGAATGGCTTTTCATCATCGTGGAGTCTCTTATGATTCAAAATACTTGAGGCCCGGCTAAAGCTCTTCCCACATTCTTTACAATTATAAGGTCTCTCTCCCGTGTGGACTCTCTGGTGCATGTCAAGATTAAACTTACTGTTGTACCCCTTCCCACACTCCTCACATTTGTATGGCTTTACTCCAGTGTGGACTCTGCGATGAGAATAAAGTTGTGAATTCTGAGTAAATCTTTTCCCACACTCTTCACATTTGAATGGTTTTTCCCCACTATGGACTCTACGATGGGTATAAAGTTGTGAATTCTGAGTAAATCTTTTCCCACATTCTTCACATTTGAACGGTTTTTCTCCACTGTGGATTCTCTGATGATTCAAAAGACATGAGGCCCAGCCAAAGCTCTTCCCACATTCCTTACAATTATAGGGTTTCTCTCCTCTGTGAACCCTCTGATGAAAGTCAAGATCCAATCTCCTTTTGTAGCCCTTCCCACACTCCTCACATCGATATGGCTTTTCTCCACTGTGGGCTCTCTGGTGAGAATAACGCTGTGAATTTGTATAAAATCCCTTCCCACATTCTTCACATTTGAATGGTGTCTCTCCACTGTGGACTCGCACATGTCTTGAAAGACCCGAGGCCCATCTGAAGCTCTTTCCACACTCTTTACAATTATATGGCTTCTCCCCTGTGTGGTCTATCTGATGCTTATAAAGATCTTGCCTATAAATGAAGCGTTTTCCACATTCCTCACATTTGTACCGTTTCTCTCCTGTGTGAATCATGCGATGACTATTAAGTGCTGATTTCAAACCAAAGCTCTTACCACATGTATCACATCTGAATGGTTTCTCTTGCATGTGAACCATGGAATGCCTATTAAGATTTGCTCTACTACGGAAGCTCTTACAACATATATCACATTTGAATGGTTTCTCCCCAGTATGGATTCTTTGATGTTCCTGAAGCTGGGAATCATGAATGAAGGCCTTCCCACATTCCTCACAAACATGAGGTTTCTCTCCTGTGTGTAATTTACGATGAACATAAAGTCCTGATCTACGACTAAAGCCTTTCCCACACTGCTCACATCTGAATGGTTTCTCTCCAGTGTGGATTCTCTGATGAATTTGCAGATGTGAGCTCTGATTGAATTCCTTACCACACACATCACAATTAAAGAGTTTCTCCCCCATGTGAACTCTCTGATGGATACGAAGAGCTGAGCTATAACAGAAACTCTTTCCACATTCATCACATGTATGAGACTTCTCTCTTGGCTGCAATTGTTGATGAAGATCAAGGATGGAGACATCACTAAAGGATTTCTTACACTGCCCACCCTCAGAAGGTTTCTGTCCTTTGTGAATTATAGACAGTCTGGCATTAACCTGTTTGGGGAACTGAGAGCTGTTTACCATGGAGTCTTGAAACTTGGTTAAGTCACTCGAAATTTGTTCCCAGGTTTGATGGCTGAACAATCCTTCATGTGTTCCTTGTTCTTGAACAGTTTCCATCTCAGTTTGGATCTTGCCTCCTGTAACAACACAGAATTAAGATACGGATAAATAAAGCCTTTATTCAGTGTTATCAAGATTTCATACTTAAGACATGGCCTGAAATTTTAATAAATACAGGGAATGTTCAGATTGTATTTTTTTTTAAAGGCAGTGTCTCTCTCTGTCACCCAGGCTGGAGTGCAGGGACATGATCATGGCTCACTGTAGCATTAACCTCCTGGGCTTAAGTGATCCTCCCACCTCAGCCTCCTGAGTAGCTAGGACTACAGGCACATGCTACCATGACTAGCTAATTTTTACAGTTTTTGTAGAGATGGGGTCTTGCTATGTTGCCCAAGCTGGTCTTGAACTCCTGGCCACAAGTGATACTCCCATCTTGACCTCCCAAAGTGCTGGGATTATAGGCTTGAGCCACTGTGCCCAGCCAATGTGTTTTCCAAGTACACTATGGACTCTGGTTTGCATGAGACCAATTCAGAACCACACCAAGTGTCATATATGAAATACCTGGTAGAAATGAAACCTTGCATGGTAAATTATGTAACTAATAAATTATGTACACAGTGAAATATGAATCAAATGTGAACTTTAGGAGAAGCTGTAACATCATCAAACCTTTGTATGTTTTAGTTTGTATTGTATATCTTTATGAAATAAAGAAATTATCCCAACTCACAAAGAAGCCTGAGTGATGTCCTCAGCAGCTGAGAGGCAATCTTTTTTTTTTTTTTTTTTTTTTTTGAGACAGAGTTTCGCTCTTGTTACCCAGGCCGGAGTGCAATGGCGCGATCTCAGCTCACCGCAACCTCTGCCTCCTGGGTTCAGGCAATTGTCCTGCCTCAGCCTCCTGAGTAGCTGGGAGTACAGGCACGCGCCACCATGCCCAGCTAATTTTTTGTATTTTTAGTAGAGACGGGGTTTCACCATGTTGACCAGGATGGTCTTGATCTCTTGACCTCCTGATCAACCTGCCTCGGCCTCCCAAAGTGCTGGGATTACAGGCTTGGGCCACCGCGCCCGGCCTCCAGGTTCTTAAAATGTCACGCCTGAGGAGAGTATCTTTGTTTGCCTGGAGGTAGTAGGTCTAGTTGGTCACTCTAGACAGTGTAATAATAATACGATTTAGAATTATGGGTGGCCCCACCTATGAGGAGAATGTGGTTCTCACTATGTGAGAAAGACCAAACAATGTGATTTACAGTGAGGCTTTCAGTCATGTGGAATCAGTCAGTCAGGAGACTGAGACTATTTATATGGGAAAGCAATCAACCAATAATGGCTATGTAATTAATGGACAACAATCACTCTGAATACCAGGGGTCAGGAAAGCTTCCCTGATAGGCTTTCCTCCTGTCTAAACTCACACCTTAATCTTGGGGATATCATGCATCTTGATTCCATGGGGAGAGTACAATAAAAAGTTCTCATTTGATACTTCCCTGGACTCTGTCTTACTTGATTTTTCTCCTAATTGTAATATGCATCTTTGCCCTCTAAAAATACATAGCTTTAAGAATATGGAACATGAGGCCGGGCGCGGTGGCTCAAGCCTGTAATCCCAGCACTTTGGGAGGCCGAGGCGGGTGGATCACGAGGTCGAGAGATCAAGACCATCCTGGTCAACATGGTGAAACCCCGTCTCTACTAAAAATACAAAAAATTAGCTGGGCATGGTGGCACGTGCCTGTAATCCCAGCTACTCAGGAGGCTGAGGCAGGAGAATTGCCTGAGCCCAGGAGGCGGAGGTTGCAGTGAGCCGAGATCGTGCCATTGCACTCCAGCCTGAGTAACAAGAGCGAAACTCCGTCTCAAAAAAAAAAAAAAAAAAAAGAATATGGAACATGAAGGCAATTTGAGGAAACCACTGAATTTGTCATTGGCATGAAGTGACAGTAGTCTTCTGTGAGGTGTCACTTGTAACTCTGTAGTTGGTTAAGCTCTTCACAATACTAAATATCAAATACCTAGGAGTATTTATGTCTATATATTTAGAGTATTCCTGCACAAGAATTTTTGCAGAACATGCATAGTTCATCTAATTTTGCTGGGCTGATATGAACAATCCCTGGGTTATCTGAAATAGAAAAGGATCAGAAACCTTCAGTTTGTATGGGAATCTGAAAGGCTGGACCCAACAGAAATACACAAAGGGAGATGCTCCTGATGAGACAATGAAAGTCGGTAAGATCACCTGTAATGAAAAGAACACCTAATGGGTCATGCCCTGGTTGGTTCCATGTGAAGTTACTGGACTGTCTCACTGAAAACAGATGGCAGAGCCAGATGCGGTGGCTCACACCTGTAATACTAGCACTTTGGGAGGCTGAGGCAGGCAGATGACCTGAGGTTGGGAGTTTGAGACCAGCCTGACTAACATGGAGAAACCCCATCCCTACTAAAAATACAAAATTAGCTGGATATGGTGGCCTGTAATCCCAGCTACTCAGGAGGCTGAGGCAGGAGAATCACTTGAACTCAGGAGGTGGAGGTTGTGGTGAACCGAGATCATACCATTGCACTCCAACCTGGGCAAAAAGAGCGAAACTCCATCTCAAAAAAGAAAAAAGAAATTAAGAAAGAAAACAGATGGCAGAAAAAAGATTATGTAAAGAAATAGACCTTCATCATGTCCATTTTCTTTTTCTTTCTTTCTTTTTTCTTTTTCTTTTTTTTTTTTTAAGACAGAGTCCAGGCCGGGCGCGGTGGCTCAAGCCTGTAATCCCAGCACTTTGGGAGGCCGAGGTGGGTGGATCACGAGGTCAAGAGATCGAGACCATCCTGGTCAACATGGTGAAACCCCGTCTCTACTAAAAATACAAAAATTAGCTGGGCATCGTGGCGCACGCCTGTAGTCCCAGCTACTAGGGAGGCTGAGGCAGGAGAATTGCTTGAACCCAGGGGGCGGAGGTTGCGGTGAGCCGAGATCGTGCCATTGCACTCCAGCCTGGGTAACAAGAGCGAAACCCCGTCTCAAAAATAAAAAAATAAAATAAAAAAAAACTAAAAAAAAAAGACAGAGTCCAGCTCTGTTACCCAGGCTGGAGTGCAGTGGTACGATCTTGGCTCACTGCAACCTCCGCCTCCCTGGTTCAAGCGATTCTCACACCTCAGCCTCCCAAGTAGCTGGGACTACAGGTGCGTGCCACCACACCTGGAGACACCCCAAATACTGTGAATGTCTCAACTGTGGAAGTGAGAAAGAGCCTCTTGTCCTGAACACATAACCTCACTGGAGAAACTGAAGGTCTTTTTGTGGCAGAAGTTTCTGACCTTAGCTGGAGTTTAGTCAATTTAGAGAGCTGAGCAAGACACAGGGGTAGATGAAGCAGGAGAAAGGCCTTGGGACCTCATTGGGTACCAAAGCAGGCCATTCTTGCCTGGCACCACAGGGATATATCAGAATGGTGGCCAGAGGAGCAGGGCATGGGGAATTCCACAGGGAGAAAGAAGTATCCAGCTGAACTTTGTAACAATTTGAATGGGGCAAGAAGACAGTATTTTGCAAGATAGAGAAAGAAGGAACCCTTCCTAATTCATTCTATGAAGCCAATATCACCCTAATACCAAAACCAGGAAAGGATATAACCAAAAAAGAAAACTAAAGACCAATATCCTTGATGATCATAGATGCTAAAATCCTAAACAAAATACTAGCTAACCTAATCCAACAACATATCAAAAAGTTAATCCATCATGATGAGGTAGGTTTCATGCCAGGGACGCAGGGATGGTTTAACATACCCAAGTCTATAAATGTGATACACCACATAAACAGAATTTAAAAAAAAAATCATACGATCATCTCAACAGATACAGAAAAAGCATTCAACAAAATCCAGCATCCCTTTATGATTAAAACTCTCAGGAAAATCAGCATACAAGGGACATACCTCAGTGCAAGAAAAGCCATCTATAACAAACCCATAGCAAACATAATACTGAATGGGGAAAAGTTGAAATCATTGCCTCTAAGAAGTGGAACGAGACAAGGATGCCCACGCTCACCACTCCTCAACATAGTTTTCTTTTTTGGCTAGGACTTCCAAATCAATCAGACAAGAGAAAGAAATAAACGGCATCCACTTTGGCCGGGCATGGTGGCTCACGCCTGTAATCCCAGCACTTTGGGAGGCCCACACAGGTGGGTCACCTGAGGTCAGGAGTTTGAGGCCAGCCTGTCGAACATAGTAAAACCCTGTCTCTACTAAAAATACAAAAATTATCTGGGTGTGGTAGAGGACGCCTGTAATCCCAGCTCTTGGAGGCTGAGGCAGGAGAATCACTTGAACCCAGGAGGCAGAGGTTGCAGTGAGTAGAAATTGTGCCACTGCACTCCAGCCTAGGCAACCAGAGCAAGACTCCATCTAAAGAAAACAGAAAGAAAGAAAGAAAGAAAGGGCATTCAAATCGGTAAAGAAGAAGTTAAACTGTTACTGGTTGCTGATGTATGATTGTCTACCTTGAAAACCCTAAAGACTCCTTCAGAAAGCTCCTAGAATTGATAAAAGAATTCAGCAAAGTTTCTGGATACAAGATTAATGTACACAAATCAGTAGCTCTTCTATATACCACCAGCAACCAAGCAGAGAATAAAATCAAGAACTCAACGCCTCATATAATAGCTGCAAACAACAACAATGACAACAACAACAACAACAACAACAACAACAACTTAGGAATATACCTAACCAAGGAGTCAAAAGACCTCTACAAGGAAAACTACAAAACGCTACTGAAAGAAATCACAGAGACAAAGAAATGGAAACACATCCCATGCTCATGGATGGGTAGAATCAATAGTGTAAAAATGACTCCAAAAATACTGCCAAAAACAAATTCAAGGCAATCCCTATCAAAATATCACCATCATTCTTCACAGAATTAGAAAAAAAAAAAATTCTAAAATTCATATGGAACCCCAAGACTAAGTAAAAACAAAAACAAATCTGGAGACATCACACCACCTGATTTCAAACTATGCTATAAGACCATAGTCACCAAAACAGCGTGGTACTAGTATAAAAATAGGCACATAGATCAATGGAACAGAACAGAGAACCCAGAAATGATCCCAAATACTTAAAGCCAACTGATCTTGGACAAAGCAAACAAAAACATAAAGTGGGGAAAGGATACCCTTTTCAACAAATGGTGCTGGGATAATTGGCTAGCCACATGTAGGAGAATGAAACTGGATCTTCATCTCTAACCTTATGCAAAAATCAACTCAAGATGGATTAAGAACTCAAATCTAAGACCTGAAACTATAAAAATTCTAGAAGCTAACACTGGAAAAACCCTCCTAGACATTGGCTTAGGCAAGGATTTTATAATCAAGTACCCAAAAGCAAATGCGATAAAGAGTTGGGACCGGGCAGGGCGCGGTGGCTCACGCCTGTAATCCCAGCACTTTGGGAGGCCGAGGCGGGTGGATCACAAGGTCAAGAGATCCAGACCATCCTGGTCAACATGGTGAAACCTTGTCTCTACTAAAAATACAAAAAATTAGCTGGGCATGGTGGCACGTGCCTGTAATTCCAGCTACTCGGGAGGCTGAGGCAGGAGAATTGCCTGAACCCAGGAGGCGGAGGTTGCGGTGAGCCGAGATCGCGCCATTGCACTCCAGCCTGGGTAACAAGAGTGAAACTCCGTCTCAAAAAAAATAAAAAAAAAAAAGGGGGTTGGGACCTAATTAAACTAAAAAGCTTTTGCATGGCAAAAGGACAATCAGGAGAGTAAACAGACAACCCACAGAGTGGGAGAAAATTTTCACAATCTGTACATCTGACAAAGGACTAATATCTAGAATCTATAATGAACTCAAATAAATCAGTGAGAAAAAAAACAAAGTACCCCATCAAAAAGTGGGCCAAGAACTTGAATAGAGAATTCTCAAAAGAAGATATACAGATGGCCAACAGACACATAAACAAAAAGCTCAAAATCACTAATCATCAGGGAAATGCAAATCAAAACCACAATGTGATACCACCTTACTCCTGCAAGAATGGCCATAATCAAAAAATCAAAAAACGGTAGCTGTTGATGTGGATGTAGTGATCAGGGAACACTTCTACACTACTGGTGGGAACGTAACTAGTACAGCCAGTACGGGAAACAGTGTGGAGATCCCTTAAAGAACTAAAAGTAGAACTACCATTTGATCCAGCAATCCCACTACTGGGTGTCTATCCCGAGTAAAGAAGTCATTATATGAGAAAGATAGCCAGCAAGTTTTGAGGTGAAAGAGTATTCTGGGCCGGGCAAGGTGGCTCACGCTTGTAATCCCAGCACTTTGAGAAGCTGAGGCAGGTGGATCACCTGAGGTCAGGAGTTTAAGACCAGCCTGGTTAATATGGTGAAACTCTGTCTCTACTAAAAATACAGAAAAAAAAAAAAAAATTAGCTAGGCATGAGGGTTTGTGCACCTGTAATCCCAGCTACTTTGGGAGGCTGAAGCAGGAGAATTGCTTGAACCCAGCAGGTGGAGGTTGCAGTGAGTGGAGATCGTGCCACTGCATTCCCGCCTGGGCGACAAGAGCAAAACTCTGTCCAAAAAAAAAAAAAGTATTCTGATCAGAGAGAAGAGCAAGTAAGGGCTCTGAGGTAGAAGCTTCAGAAGTAGACAGAACAATGATTTATAAAAGATGCCCACACCCAGTCCCCAAGACCTATGAACATGTTATATTACACAGCAAGGGAGACAGGGGTTGCAGATGCAATGAAGGCCACTAATCAGCTAACCAGATAGTGAGAAGGTCATTGTGGATCACTCAGGACTAACCAGTACAATCACAAGGAACCTGAAAGGCAGAAATGGAGGCATAAGAAGAGTGGCAGAGTGAGCATGACTATGGAAGAAGGGTCAGAAATGCTAACTAACCACCTTAGAAGATGGAGGAAGGAAAACAAGAGCCAAGGAGTGGGGACAGTGCCTAGAGACTGGTAAAGCAAAATAAAGGTCTCCCCCTAAGAGCATCTGGAAAGAAACAAAGCCCTACAGACACCTTGATAATTGCCCAGTGAGATGTTTCGACTTCAGGACTAAAGAACAGAAAGATAGTGTTTCTTGTTTAGTCCACTAAATGTGTGGTCATCGGTTACTACAACAGGCAATACAGTGTCCTTGGCAGGTCAGAGAAACGGCAGAGAGGACAACGTGGCTGGAAAGACAGGGCAAGAAGGAGAGGACAGGAAATGCCGTCAGAGAGGCGGTCGGGGATGAAGAACAGATCACATGGTCTCTAAAAGGCACTGCAAACACTTGTAACTTAAGTAAACACAAGAAGCCAGAAAGGCTTTAGAGCCAAAGAATGGCAATCTGACTTAGATTTCCTAAGGATCACTTTGGCTGCCATGAGGAAAACAGATGTCAGGGTGGGAAAAGTGGGAGCAGGGCAACAAGCCAAGTCAGCTGTAAAAATCCAGGAAGGTTTGGCCATTTAGACCAGGCCAACAGAGTTGGGCAACAGACAGAAGCAAAACAGATGGGAGAGTCACGTACAAGGACACACAGTTGCTTGCTTCTTACCTAAATTCCCTTCTCTTTGGGTTGCTGTCTCCACCATCCAGAACTTTTCTTCCCCGGGGAAGTGTAGCCCAGCATGCTGGGCTACACATATATAGATTTCAATGAATCTTGCCAGTTGCCCCAGCAACATTTAGCAATTCAGTCCCAGTCTTGTTTGATAATTCCCATTATTCTCTCTCATACTTGAACCCTGAATGTTATCATTTTTTAAAAATATCTGCCACCAAACTAACAAGCTTGTGGGGTGGCTGATGCCCTGTGAACATGCAAAGTCACATGCTTAAGGCCAACATATCCTAGAGAAAAAAAAACCTAAGTAAAATTTACTAGAAACTTAGGTTTCCAATGCATACTCAAACTTGAACACTTTAGGATACAAAACCACTCCTGGGCCTGACGTTCCCTTACAAAGGGTGCCTGTCCTCACCCACTGAGAGCACGTTCCTGAAATTCTCCAGCATCACATCTCGGTACAGCTTCCTCTGGGCAGGGTCCAGCAGCCCCAGCTCCTCCTTGGTGAAGACCACAGCCACATCCTTGAAGGTCACTGCCTCCTATAGCATCAAACATATGCAACTTCAAACTCATGGCCAATGATTACTGAGAGAGGGGTGGCACTGAGCAGGCAGAGGGGAAGGACAAGCAGCTGTTTTGAATCTTAAGAATCTTAAGAGACAAAGGTCAATGTACAGATTTCCTTTTTTTTCTTTCTTTCTTTCTTTCTTTCTTTCTTTCTTTCTTTCTTTCTTTCTTTCTTTCTTTTTTAGACAGAGTCCTGCTCTGTTGCCCAGCTGGAGTGCAGTGGCATGATCTTGGCTCATTGCAACTTCCACCTCTAGGGTTCAAGTGATCCTCCTGCCTTGGCTTCCCAGGTAGCTGGGATTATAGGTGCCTGCTACCATGCCTGGTTAATTTTTGTATTTTTAATAGAGATGGGATTTCACCATATTGGCCAGGCTGGTCTTGAACTCCTGACCTCAGGTGATCTGCCTGCCTTAGCCTCCCAAAGTACTGGGATTATAGGCATGAGTCACCCTGCCTGGCCCACTCATAGATTTCCTACTCATTCTGTCTGTATCCTGACAATGACTGATTTTCCTGAGCTCCACCAGAAGTGCAATGATGGAAAAGACCTCCTGTAGGTTTACTTTGTGCACTTTTTCACTCTCCTTTTAAGTAACCCTTTAGGACTCTAACTGCAGCATCCTGGGCTACACGTATACAGGTTTCAGTGAATTTTGCCAATTGCCCCAGCAACATTTAGCAATTCAGTCCCAGTCTTGTTTGATAATTCCCATTGTTCTCTCTCATACTTGAACCCTGAATGTTATCATTTTTCTTTAATATCTGTCACCAAACTAACAAGCTTGTGGTAACCTGTGCGGAACGGCTATGCAGTACATCTTCTGTACTCTCAAGGCCTAAACTATAGACATTAATTGAAGCATTGAATGTCATGATCTGCAGCCAGTGTGCCTAAGAGCACATCCCAAGGCTCTGTACCTTCCTGGTCACATGACCTTGAATAAGTTCACCTATTTACTCCCTTTCTCTTTAATAATTCTCGTATTATAGTTTTTTCAATGATTAAACAAGAAAATATATGGAGCATTGAAAAAGTTGATCAGTACAGACTAAATACCTAATAAGCATTAGTTTTTAAAAATTATCATCGGGGGAGGGGGACGTCGCGGCCCAGCCTGGCGAGGCGCGGCGGCCACGCGGGGCGCGGGTCGGGGGACCCCTGAGCCGGCCGGGCCCCGCGGTGTCCGAGCGCGGCAACGCGCAGGCCCCGAGCCCGACCCCGCCGGGCCGCCCCGCCTTGTTTTGCCGCCCGCGCGGCTGGAGGCTCTGGGACGAGGCCCCGGGGCCCGAGAGGCAGGGCGGGCGCGGCGCTTCTAAGGAAAAGAACGCAGAGCGGTGAAACGCCAGCTGCAGACATGCGCGGTTCTGCATGTGTGCATTTCCCGTGACGTTCAACGTCCCCGAACGCTGCAGTCATCGAGCGTAATGAGAAGCGTCGTCACACACGATCATCCAACGGCCTTTTTGGGTCTGTATTTTTGCAGGCGGGGTCTGGGGTCTCGCTCTGTGGCCCGCGCGGCGCACGGCGGCCTCGGCGACCTGGCCTCTAGTGGTCCTCCGGCCTCAGCCTCCCGAATGGCTGCTGCTGCAGGTGCGACCCTCGCACCTGGCCAGTTTCTGTATTTTGCGGGACAGAGATGGGGACTCCTCCCTGGCTGGAACTCCCGAGCGCGACGGATTCTCCCGCCTCCGCCTCCCGAAGCCCGGGCTTGCAGGCGCGAGCCACCGCGGAGCCGAATCGTACCTACTCCGGGCTTGGAGTGGAGGAGCTCCTGGGAGCGCTGCTGCAGGTTCATGCTGCACAAGCAAGAATCCGGATCAATGCAATCCCCATCCAAAAAGAGAACGTAGTCGGAATTGCTGCGTTCCCAAACGCACTCCTCAGAGGAGACAGCTCGTTCGAAGCAGGCAGAGGGAAGCTGAATCTTGCTGTTTTTCACACGGGATGACTGGAAGACATTTGCGGACCCGCGGCTGGCTCTGTACATACAAACCGTGCTTCTCTGCTCCCTGCGGACTTGTAGCACCAGGCTCGGTTCCCCTAAGGACTCCAGAGCCTCAGGCGGCCAGCAAGGATTCGAATGACCTGCATGAAAGTACCCCGTAAAGCCCCTTCCGCCACGGCAGCCTTGGCTCTTCGCTACCCTGTGGCCGTTGGCCTCAACAGGGGCCACAAGGTGACCGAGAACGTGAGCAAGCCCAGGCACAGCCTCCGCGTCTCACCAAACACACCAAGTGCATGCAGGAAGTGATCCAGGAAGTATGTGGCTTGGCTTCTACGAGCAGGGCGTCATGGTGTTCCCGAAGGTCTCCAAGGACAAACAGAACCTCAAGTTCATCAAGAAAAGGCTGGGACGCACATATGCGCCAAAGGAAGCGGGAGGAGCTGAGCAAGGTCCTGGCCACCATGAGGAAAGCCGCTGCCCAGAAAGACTGAGCCCCCTCCCCTCTCCCTGAAATAAAGACTGAGCCCCCTTCCCTCTCCCTGAAATAAAGACTGAGCCCTTCCCTTCTCCCTCAAATAAAAAACAGCTGGACAGAAAAAAAAAAAATTATTATCATCATTGTTGCCATCTATTTTATCTCATTTCATATCTGCATAGTATTCCAAAGAATTGATAATCTATTTTTATCTACTCTAAATAATCTTTAATTTTACATATGCTCATTAATACCAATTCTATAAAAAAAAATTTTAGGTAGATTTTACTCCTGTTTATTTAAAATAATCTTAAATGAAAATTAAAATGTCAATAAATAGGCATGTTTAAAATTGTGATCATATAATATCAGATGTCAATTTTTTACCAAACTCTAATCTTTCAAGAGGATACAGGTACACTGATTTGTCTTACCATAACAAAGAGCAGGTTATCAATTTCCCCATGATTTTGGTAATCATATTAGGAAAAATTTAACAGTCTCACTTATTTGATTATAAATAATACCATCAGCTTTTCAAACATTTACTGGCCAACTCAATTTCTCCTTTAAACTTGCCTGTTAATGTCTTTTATTCATACTCCTTTGGATTTTTTTTTTTTTTTTTTTTCTATTCTGAACATAAGATTCTTATTTTGGATTTTGTCTTTTTCAGATATACAAGTAGTGAATATTTTCACCCTAGGCTGTTATGTTTTCTGGTAACATTGTGCGAGGTATCCTTTGCCATACTGAATGTAAAGACTTTCTATAATGACTATGGTTATCACTGTCCTTGGGTGCCTGGAGCACTGGGTGCAACTGAGTAGGTGCCAAGTCAGGAAGAAAGAAGGTCACCCCAAAATAGGGCCTGAAAGGAGCAGTGCCACCTGTGGACGCTGGCTCTTGAGTTGGCACAACACAACAGGCTATAACTACTTAGCTGCTTTTTCACACAATGATTATTGGAGGTGTTCACACAGGAAGACCTAGATTCTGTTTCTCTCATGCCATATCTCTGTTGTTCTCCCTAAGTCTTCCCAAGACTGAGAAAAACATGTGAATATGAGTAGTGAGATGAAATACAGCTGGGTGCAGTGGCTCACACCTGTAATCCCAGCACTTTGAGAGGCTTAGGTGGGCAGATCACCTGAGATCAGGAGTTTGAGACCAGCCTGGCCAAACGGTGAAACCCCATCTCTACTAAAAATACAAAAATTATCAAGGTGTGGTGGTGTGTGCCTGTAGTCCCAGCTACCTGGGAGGCTGAGGAAGGAGAATCACTTGAACCCGGGAGGCAGAGTTTGTAGTGAGCTGAAATCAGGCCACTGCATTCCAACCTCAGCAACAAAGCAAGACTCCATCTCAAAAGAAAAAAGAAATTTTAACAGCAAGAGAGGCAAGCTCTACTCACCTTCAGCGTGGTCATTTTTCCTCCTATATCAGGGAATATGCAGAGTCCTGAGTGATGCAGTCTGAGGGAAAGCAGAATCCTGCCTCAAAAGTACCAGGGAAGGCAGAAAAAGAGACATGAAAGTGTGGCCAGGGATGCCGTCCGCCAACACAAATGTGTGTTGTAAATTAACACATGAATGTTCACAACATCATTATCCATAGTAGCCCAAAACTGTACACAAAAAAATATCCTTTGCATACATGGATAGACAGATTGTGGCCCATCCATAGAATGGAATCTTATTTGGAAATTAAAAAGAATGAAGTAAGCTGGGCGCGGTGGCTCACGCCTGTAATCCCAGCACTTTGGGAGGCTGAGGCGGGTGGATCACGAGGTCAAGAGATAGAGACCATCCTGGTCAACATGGTGAAAACCTGTCGCTACTAAAAATACAAAAAATCAGCTGGGCATGGTGGCGCGTGCCTGTAATCCCAGCTACTCAGGAGGCTGAGGCAGGAGAATTGCCTCAACCCAGGAGGCGGAGGTTGCGGTGAGCCGAGATCGCACCATTGCACTCCAGCCTGGGTAACAAGAGCGAAACTCAGTCTCAAAAAAAAAAAAAAAAAAAAAAAAAAAAAAGAATGAAGTACTGTTTCATGCTACTACAACACATAGGAACTTTGGAAACATGATGCTATGTGGAAGAAGCCAGTCACGTAAGAAGGCCCACATACTGCAGGATCCAATTTCTATGAAATTCCAGAGTAGGCAAGTGTATATAATGAGAAAGTAGGTAGGTGGTCTCTGCACATTTGAGGTTAGAAAGAGGATTAACTATAAATGGGTACAAGGAGACTTAATGGGGAATGAAAATGATTTAAACTAAATTATGGTGATGTTATTCCATTCCTCAAAGTTCCTAAGAATTACTCAAGTGTACACACAAAATGGGTAGATTCTATGATACATAGACTACAACTCAATAAAGTTGGACAAAGTACTGGTAATTGTTAATCCACATGCCATTTAACTTATTAAGACTGGATTCTGGATCTATAATGATAGAATACTTATAGTTCAATGAATGAATGAATGAATAAGCAAATGAAACAGGAGGGGAAGCTCACCTTTGTAATAGGACGCCCACTAATAAACGTATTTCTCCATAAAAAAACGTAATTAACCAGAAGATTAGGAAGTGTATCTTGAGAGCAACTTGAATCTGTGTTCCTGGGGTTTAAAAAAAAAAAAATTCAAAATAACTTTACAGTGCAGAAATCTGACAAACTTGACTTTGGCTAAGTGAACAAAGTTAAGATCACCAATGAAGTGACAAACTGACATATGGCCCCTGTTATGTTGCAACAAGAAATTTACCCCTGTGGGCTGGCCAAGGTGGCTCATGTCTGTAACCCCAGCACTTTGGGAGGCCAATGTGGGTGGATCACCTGAGGTTAGGAGTTTGAGACCAGCATGGCCAACATGGTGAAACCTCATCTGTACTAAAAATACAAAAATTAGCTGGGCATGGTGACAGGCACCTATAATCCCAGCTACTTGGGAGGCTGAGGCAGAAGAATAGCTTAAACCCAGGAGGTAGAGGTTGCAGTGAACCAAGATTGTGCCACGCACTCCAACCTGGGTGACAAGAGTGAAACTCTGTCTCAAAAAGAAAAGAAATTTATCACTTCTATGGTATTCCCGCAAAAAATGCATAATTTGAAGCTAAACATGAAATAACATCAGAAAAACTCCAAATGAACATCTTTGACCAAAATAACTGCATCTACACTCTTCAAAAAATAACAAGGATAAAATATCAAGAATAAAAAAGATGAAAACTATGCTATCTTTCAAGATTAAAGAAGACTAGAAAAACATGACAACTGAAAGCAATGCATGAAATTGGACTTTGAATGGAGTGAGGGGTGGCGTGTGGGGAGGGGGATAGGTACAGTTATAAGGGCTTCAACTAAAAGGCAGAACAAAATTAAATCTGGAACTGTAGATTAGATGACATGTTATCTAATATGTTTTCTAGCATTAATAGATGCCACAATTAGCTATTAGTAGTAGTTTTTAGTAGGTATATAATACAGATAACAGTATTCTGTAGTATAATATCTAATGTTATATAGTATTTTATGTGACACCCTATAACCAGCATTTCCTAAGCGCCTCTACCAAGACACCCTGGTATGTGTGCTTCCTTGCTGTAGAAAGTTATAGTCAGCTGTCTCTGATTACAGATATGTTCTTGGTAGTATTTTGCTGATGTTAATCAACAAACCAAATGGCAAAACTGGGTAAAGAGTAAATGAAAGCTTCTAATATTACACTATTTTTGCCACTTTTCTATAGGTTTAAAATGATATGAAAATGAAGTGTTAAAATATCAGTAAGCATTGATAGTAATAATAACGGATGAACATGACATCATATGGCAGTTTCATTAGTTACTTCTCTCTCGATGGTATTTGGAAATGTCCATAGTTAAATACTTAAGAAAAAACATTGCCGGGCGCGGTGGCTCAAGCCTGTAATCCCAGCACTTTGGGAGGCCGAGGCGGGTGGATCACGAGGTCAAGAGATCGAGACCATCCTGGTCAACATGGTGAAACCCTGTCTCTACTAAAAATACAAAAAATCAGCTGGGCATGGTGGCGCGTGCCTGTAATCCCAGCTACTCAGGAGGCTGAGGCAGGAGAATTGCCTGAACCCAGGAGGCGGAGGTTGCGGTGAGCCGAGATCGTGCCATTGCACTCCAGCCTGGGTAACAAGAGCGAAACTCCGTCTCAAAAAAAAAAAAAAAAAAAAGAAAAAAGAAAGAAAAAACATTTTAAAATATTTTAAAATAATGTTAAAATATTTATAAATAAATATACAAGTATACACAAAGGAAGACGAAGAAGAAATGCATTAGAAGCTGAAGGGTTACTTTTTTTTTTTTTTTTTTTTTGAGATGGAGTCTCTCTCTGTCGCCTAGGCTGGAGTGCAATGGCGCCATCTCTGCTCACTGCAACTTCTGCCTCCCGGGTTCAAGCGATTCTCCTGCCTCACCCTCCTGGGTAGCTGAGATTACAGGCGCATGCCACCATGCCCGGCTAATTTTTTGTATTTTTAGTACAAACGGGGTTTCACCATGTTAGCCAGGATGGTCTCAATATCCTAACCTGGTGATCCGCCCGCCTCGGCCTCCGAAAGTGCTGCTGGGATAACAGGTGTAAGCCACTGTGCCCGGCCTTTTTTTTGAGACGGAGTTTCGCTCTTGTTACCCAGGCTGGAGTGCAATGGCGCCATCTCGGCTCACCGCAACCTCCGCCTCCTGGGTTCAGGCAACTCTCCTGCCTCAGCCTCCTGAGTAGCTCGGATTACAGGCATGTGCCACCGTGCCCAGCTAATTTTTTGTATTTTTAGTAGAGACGGGGTTTCACCATGTTGACCAGGATGGTCTCGATCTCTCGACCTCGTGATCCACCCACCTCGGCCTCCCAAAGTGCTGGGATTACAGGCTTGAGCCACCGCGCCCGGCCCTTTTTTTTTTTTTTTTTTTTTTTTTTTGAGACGGAGTCTTGCTCTTCTGCCCAGACTAGAGTGCAGTGGCAGGATCTCGACTCACAACAACCTCCGCCTCCCGGGTTCAAGCAATTATCTTGCCTCAGCCTCCCGAGTAACTGGGATTGCAGGCGCCCACCACCGCACTCACCTAATTTTTATGTTTTTAGTAAAGACGGGGTGTAACCATCTTGGCCGGGCTGGTCTCGAACTCCTAACCTCGTGATCCACCCGCGTCCGCCTCCCAAAGTGCTGGGATTACAGGCATGAGCCACCGCGCCTGTCCCAACAGTTACTATTTCAAAATATTGGACTCGTGGGTAATCAAAATGTTTTTTTCTAGTCATAGCAGTTCTCTAATTTCTGAGTGCTCCACAATGATATGGATCTATAACAACGATACATATTTGTAATAAGTGAGACAAAATGGTTGACAAAACTTTTAAAAGCTCAAAGAAAACTCCAAGCCCAATAAGCCTTGCTCTTCGGGTCCCTTCAATCAAGTCCTAACTTGCTTTCCCCAGCTCATGTCTCAACGAGAATACACCCAAGAGATGATCAACTCATAATCTGACCCGGGTTGCCTAAATTCCAACTCCAGCTCCACCTCTCAGTAGCTGGTGCTTATGCGCCACGTGTCTCACTCCTGTCTTTAAAATAGAGAAAAGCAGTGCCTTTCCACAGTGCCATGGTGTGGTGTAATGTACTTTTAGCATAAAGCTCTTAGAATGAAGTTACCAACTCAGTCTTACTTATTATCAACACCCATGCCCAAGGACACATCCTATACACTCGGTTCAGGTGAGCATCTCTGTCAAAGAGCCAAAGGCCACTCAAGTAGAGCTTTGCCCTCAGAAGCCAAGCAGTCCCTCCCTGCAGCTCTTTTGGAAAGATAGGGCTGGGGAAGGAGAAGGCTGTGAAATACCCTGACCGCGTTGCCGTCCCCCATAAGACTTAAATGCTCCTCTCCCTTTCTGGAAGTGGACGCAACACTCGCCTTCCTAAAAAAGAGGTCAGAAGGCGTCCGGGATCATCCAGCGTCCTGCAGGGATCAGGGAGAAGGGCCGGTGCCCACGCAGCTGAAGCTCTGACCCCACCCAGGGACCTGACAGGCTTCGTGGGAAATTAACAACAGACCACCAGTCACCAAGTGACAGGGACTGCTTTAAGGCTTTCATTTGTGTTACCTCTTCCACTCTTCCAGTTCTCAAAACGATTCTATTAGGATGGTCCTAAAGTCCCTCCCCCCACCCTTTTTTTTTTTTTTGAGACGGAGTTTCACTCTTATTACCCAGGCTGGAGTGCAATGGCGATCTCGGCTCACCGCAACCTCCGCCTCCTGGGTTCAGGCAATTCTGCCTCAGCCTCCTGAGTAGCTGGGATTACAGGCACGCGCCACCATGCCCAGCTAATTTTTTTTGTATTTTTAGTAGAGACGGGGTTTCACCATGTTGACCAGGATGGTCTCGATCTCTTGACCTCGTGATCCACCCGCCTCGGCCTCCCAAAGTGCTGGGATTACAGGCGTGAGCCACCGCGCCCGGCCATAAAGTCCCCATTTTAAAGAACAGTAACGGGAGACCCAAGGACATTAGGTAACATCCCAACGTTTTACTGTGAGGAACCGGCCACGCGCGTGGGGTGCAAGGAGGCGGAGTGGGCAGCTCAGAGCCCCGAAAACCCTGAAACCAGGCGAGACGCGACCCGACCAAGTCCCAAACACCCCGGGGACGCGAGGCCAGCCCAAAGCCCAAGAAGGCGCCACTGACGAGAACGAAAACAGCGGCCCTCGCCCGCCAAACCTCTGCTCTCCGAGGAAGGTTTTTTGTTTTGTTTTTTTTTCCTAATACGATCACCAGTTCGTTGAGGATCCAAAGCGTAGGTTCAGGAAATTCAGAAGGGTCCCGCGGAACGGACCCAAACTACCAGGGACAAAACTGCAGCAACCTCACAGTCCCGGAGCGGAAGTGCCCACAACTCCACTGAGTGTTTGGACTCCACGTCCCAGAATTCCCGAGCCAAACTGCCCGCGACAACCCCGAGCGCGAGGACTACATTCCCCAGAATTCCTTAGGATCCGCCTGTCAGTGCCAAACTGACCACGACTCCAGTGAGCGTCTGGACTACATTTCCCAGAAATCCCCAGATTCGCCTACCGGAGCCGAACTGACCGCTACCCCACTGAGCATCTGGACTACCATTCCCAGAACTGCCTGTATCCTCCTCCCGGAGCCAGTGTTTGCAACTCCACCGAGCTATAGTTTACACGCCTACGATTCCTGGAGGAAAAACGCTCAAATTCTCAGTCTTCAGAGGGAAGCGTTGCCACTCCGGGTGTCCACGGGGAGCAAATCTCATAGCCACGAACTCCTGGTGGGGAACGTGAACTATCATTCTGAGAGTCGTCCTTCTCTCTCGCTGGTTCAGGACAGAAAATACTGAATAGACAGGAATTCCTGAAGTCTAAACGCCTCCAGTGATTACAGGAGTGTTAATTGGAAAGGGAACAAGCAAGAAGACACAATCTTCGAGGAGTTAAATTTTGCTAAGCTAATGGTAAGAATGGTATTTAAATGTAGTTTTAATTTGTATTTGTTCTTTTGTAAATAAAGTGAAACATCCTTGCATATTTTCCGTGGCCATTATTATAGTCTTTGTGAATTGGTCAAATCTTTTGCCCACATTTCTACTGAGTTTAATTTAGTCTTTTTCCTTCCATTAAGTATTATTTACATATTCATATTAACATTGTATCTCACATGTTGCTCAACCAAAAAGCTTTTTTTCTTTGACTTCTGTTTTTCGCTATGCAAAACGTTTTTAACGTAGTCGTTTTATTGAAAAAACATTTTTGAGGTACAATTCAC